AGGGCTTCGTGATGCTAGCAAGGTAACATGCGCCTTGGAGTATATGTTACCCATTCTAGCTAGCTCCACATCTTTGTCGGCTTTGTCATCTTGAATTATGCAAAGAGCATCTACCCAGAGATAATCAAGCCCAAGCTCAGCTGCTACTATTATGGCATCTTTTATAGTCTGAGGAAGATTATGGAAAGAGATTTCGGACTGCCAGGAATCTAAATTGGTCTTGGTCAACTTGACCTCCTGATCTCCTCCCCAGCAGTAACTCAAGGTAGCATACTTGGGCCATGAGATGTACGTTGTATCGACCAGACATAGCCTTGGATGTACAGTTATGGCTGGGCCTGCAGACCGTTGGAATATTTTGATAAGCCGACGGGGTTTCAATGACTGGGCGTCGCTCGTTACAAGCTGGTCGCTGTCGAACTCACAAGTAGCGCATGCTTCATGCGTGCTACAACATCTTTGCAACCACGTGCGAACTTTAGACATGGTTTGATTGGACGACGGAGTCAAGTTCGGCGGCCTTTGTTTGATGTCTGCAGCAGCCACATCGCTGAGCTCCATTGTTAGTGTACAGGCTGAGCCGTGTTCCGCGAGATACGTACTCAGCTTCTGCACACAACACTAGCTTTCGACCAAAGTCTTTATTATCTGTGTATTGGCTAATTTCTTCAACCCAGTCCAATGCTAGTTGCTCTTCAGAGACATGCGTGTAGTAGGCTCTCAATTGACTGTCTGCCGTTGTGTCCGGTCGGCGTAAGGTAACAAGCCACTTCATCAATTCGCAACCATGCTGTGCCAATTCAGTCGCCTCACCATACCATAGATCGAACCAATATCCCCAATCATGGCCAGTTGTCGACCAAGGCTCAGTGATCTCCTCCCATGAATCTCGATTGTTGAAGAGGAGCTTGGATTGGCAGATGTTGCAGGCGTGTGGCTGACTAGGTACCAGCATGTTTATCGAGCTTGCACCGGGAACATACCGCGAAAAGAAGCGATCAGTATGCGGCCAGGCGCCGTACGGAGTGGAAGGGATGAAAGATGGGCGCTGGCGTCTGATCAAGCATGAGACTGGTGCGGGGGCGGGATGACGCCCCGCTTCGCGCTGTCGCTTCCTCGCGTCACCGCGTTTGCGTTCATCTTCAGCCTTCTTGCTGCTGCCTTATACACAACAAAACTCTCAGCATATTACTTGGAATACAATTCAGCTTTTGAATTCGCGTGCACTCGAATTGAGTCCAGCGTATCGTGTAGATCGCTGAGCTCGTCGCACGCATCGCGCCATTTGTCCAGTTCGGAAGCCTCACTCAGCCATTCAGAATCATGTCCAACGCACCTCTAGGTGGCGGAGAAAGAGGCCGCGGTGGTGGAGATAGAGGTCGAGGTGGTTATCGAGGTGATCGTGGTGATCGTGGAGGTGGCCGTGGTGGCGGAAGAGGCGACTTTGGAGGTCGAGGGAGAGGAGACGGTGGGTTTCGCGGGGATAGAGGCGGCGGTTTCCGTGGCGACAGGGGCGGTGGTTTCCGCGGCGATAGAGGTGGGGGCTTTCGAGGAGATAGAGGCGGAGGTGGAGGTCGTGGCGGTAGAGGAGGTTATAGTGGACCGCCTGGAGGTGGTCAACAAGGCATCGAGGCTTTCTCGTAAGTTGCGAAGCCATGTTCCTGCCTATCGGCTTTAACTTTCATCTAGCAACTCCAGTCCGCAAGATCAGAAGGTCGCCAAGATTGAAGATGCCCTGCTTCCGATTGCAAAGAAAGGGCTCGATCTGAGCACTTTGAAGCTGAAAGAGGGTCACCCGACTAGGCCTGGGTATGGAACTAGGGGTATCAAGGTGGAGCTTACTGCAAACTACGTTGAGTTGCTGCCACCATCAGACATGGTATTGTATCGCTACGATATCGATGTTCAGCCCGAAACGACTGGAAGGAAGCGGCACAGAATTGTCGAGCTCCTACTCCAGACGCCGCAATTGGCTGTACACAAAGCCGATATTGCAACCGATTTCCGAGCAACCATCGTTTCGAAGACAAAATTCAAGCATGACGACGACGTCTTCGAGATTCAGTTCCGTTCCGAAGGCGAGGACGAACCGGCAGCCAACGCCGCTGTATACAAGGTTCGCGTCAAATACACAAAAGCTTTAAGCATCGGTGAGTTGGTCAACTGGATGAACTCTACCAACATTGGTCAGTCATTTGGTGACAAACAAGAGCTGACTCAAGCGCTCAACATCTTTTTGAATCACTACGCTAAGTCGGCAAACAACCTTGCCACGATAGGGTCGACGAAAAGCTTCTCTCTCAGCCAGAACGCGATGAAAGCCGACTTGGGCTCTGGCCTCAATGTCATTCGTGGTTTCTTCTCCAGCGTGCGTGTTGCAACGGCTCGAATCTTGGTCAATATCAATGTCAGCCACGGAGCGTTTTACCACGATGGGCCCCTACCAGCGCTTATGGGAAACTACGGTACCCGAAACACCAGCGCCCTAGAGAAGTTCCTCAAGTTGGTTCGCGTCCAGACAAATCATCTCCCTGAGAAGCGTAACAAAGCTGGTCAGGTCATTCCACGAATCAAGACCATTTTTGGACTTGCTAGGAAGGACGATGGACATAAACTGGCCAATAGACCACGCATCAAGGCGCATGGCGCAGGCGCAAAGGATGTTGAATTCTGGCTTGACAGCGATGCTGGATCATCTGGTGTACCCAAGACGGAAGCGAGTGCTTCGAAGGGCAAGGGCAAAGGAAAGGCTCAGCCGAAGGGACCAGCACCTTCTGGATCCGGCCGATATATCACTGTGTTCGACTTCTTTAGAACAAGTATGCTCTTCTTCACCTTTGTCTTACAATGATGCTAACATCATACAGCATACAACCGTATCCTTCAACACCCTGAACTTCCTGTAGTCAATTGTGGCAATCGGGAGAATCCGATGTACCTTCCTGCAGAGGTTTGCATCGTTGTTCCGGGCCAGCCATCGAAGGCCAAGCTTGATGCCTTCCAGACACAGCAAATGATCCGATACGCTGTTCGTAAGCCATGGGACAACGCAAAGTCGGTTCTTGATGAGGGCGTACCGACCGTTGGGCTCGATGGGAATACGAACATACTTCTGGTAGGCCGCAAGTCTTGCCATCATAGTTCTATATGTTAACTACGTCTAGCGCTCTTTCGGTCTTACCGTTACTCCGGGTCTAATCAAAGTACCAGGTCGAGTTCTCGCCGGTCCAAGGGTCATTTACCAACAAAACAAAACTGCTTCAGTTGACCAGAAGTTTGGCCGTTGGAACATGATGAACATCAAGTTTCACACCGGTACCCGACTGGCGAAGTGGTCGACTGTCATGATAACTCTTCCGAATAGACAAGGTTCCTTTGACGCCCAGGCCTTGACTGCAGTGATGCAGGAATTCCATCAAGGATTGCTCAAGGTCGGTGTCATGGCTCAACAGCCCATGCCTGTGCAACGTCTCCAGCTTCAGCACGCAGATGACGCTTCCCTAGGTCCATTCCTACGAAAGGAGGCCGACCGTGTCGATCTATTGTTCATTGTCTTGCCAGAGGTAAACACAACTTTGTACAAGCGCATCAAGACGCTCGCCGACAAAGACTATGGTCTTCACACCATCTGTTCTGTGGGCTCTAAGCTCTGGAAGGACCGAGGACGGGACCAATACATTGCCAACGTGGCGCTGAAGTTCAATCTGAAGTTGGGTGGCATCAACCAGATCGTCGAGAAAACGAACTTGGGTTTGATTGAAGCTGACAAAACCATGGTAGTCGGTATCGACGTCACTCACCCATCGCCTGGCTCAGCTTCTAACGCACCATCGGTGTCGGCAATGGTTGCGTCTGTTGACAGGTTCCTTGGTCAATGGCCTGCTACTCTGCGTATCCAGCGTGGAAGACAGGAGAATGTCGACGACCTCGCCGAGATGCTTAAATCACGACTCAACCTGTGGAGGACCAAGGGCAAGGACCACCAAGGCAGACCTCACCAATCTTTGCCTGATAATATTCTGATCTACCGTGATGGAGTTTCAGAGGGGCAGTACGATATGGTGCTCTCACAAGAGCTTCCCCAGTTGCGCAAAGCATGCGAGGCAGTGTACCCAGCCACCGATACCAAGAAAGGTCTTCCGCGTTTCACGATCGTCATCTGCGGCAAGCGACACAAGACCCGCTTCTACCCAACAGCCACGAAAGATTGCGACGGAAATCCTGATATTGGCAAGAGCTCCGGCAACACGAAGCCCGGTACTGTCGTTGATCGCGGCGTAACTGAAGCCCGCAATTGGGACTTCTTCCTCCAAGCTCACGCCGCACTCCAGGGCACGGCTCGCCCTTGCCATTATTACATCGTGCACGACGAGATATTCCGTCAGATCTACGCGAAACAGGTTCCGGCGCCGTTCAGCAACATTGCTGACATTGTCGAAGACCTCACGCACAACATGTGTTACCTGTTCGGTCGTGCGACCAAAGCTGTCAGCCTCTGCCCACCAGCTTACTATGCTGACCTGGCTTGTGAACGTGCTCGTTGCTATCTGGCGAATTTGTTCGATACGCCGATGCCGAGTGCAGCACCTTCTATGGCTGGAACTGAGGCGACTGGAGGCGCGGGGCAGGATCCAACTGCGGCTGATGTACAAATTCACCCGAGGATCAGGGATACCATGTTCTACATCTAGGTGGCAAACTCGTGGTCGTGCCGCGTTACGCAAGAAACAGTAAAGCTGTTTCAACCTCTAATCATTCGCTTTATATCATTAGACTGAACACATCATTGCCATACGGAAGAGAGCCTTCAACTGGCGTGTTGTACAGAAAACAGGTAGAAGACCTGAAGAAGGAAAGAAGTGGTAGTCGGGTAAGAGAAGATGTTGGGAAACAAATTGAGAGGGCGTTTGATCGTACTTCATTATTACATAGAAGCTGCATAACAGCTAAATACACTCATTTTACTTGATTGTTCTGTTCTTCCGTACCCGTAGTCTCACTCATGACCGTGGCGCGTACCCCGGATTCTTGGGTGGCGCGTCTATCCAAGCGGCCATCTGATAATTCGCCTGGTTCGCCGCCGTCAGCCTCGTGGAGTACGATCGACCGCCAAAGATGAAGTTTTGTGGGAACAGTGGGTTGAACGGCGCAGCACCGTGTATCTCCTCAATTTCCTCTTTCGATAACGAGATGCCCAATGCGGGTACCATTGCCTTGACATGCTCCACGGTCTGCACACCCACAATAGGGAAAACGTGGGTGGATTGATGGAACAGGTATGCCAGCGCCATTTGCTGCAATGTAACACCCTTCTTTCCTGCCATTTTCTCGAGGACCTCCGATACTGCTATGTCGCTCTCTGATGCATTGTAAAAGCCTTTACCAGACTTCGGGTCTTCTTCTGCAGCCTTTCTTTGGGAGGTCGTAGCTAGTTGGCCGCCGCCAAGCGAGGCCCAAGATACGATTGCTAAGCCTTGGTCCTCGCACATGGGTATTATCTCGGCTTCCATATCACGGTAGGCGGCGTTCCATCGGCCTTGATAAAGAGAGAAGGGTGTTAGGCCGTGGCGGCGGGCGTCTGTATGGCAGGTTAGCGATGGTTCAAGTGGAGGGTTTGTATATGCTCGCGATACATACATTCGTTTGCTTTGACAACTATCCAGGCTGGCGTATCCGAGACCCCGAGGTAGAGGACCTGTCTAGCCATGACAAGTGCATGAAGATGGCGCATGATCTCTTCCACGTTACCGCCAACATCCCACCAATGTACGTATAGAATGTCTATGTAATCGGTCTTGAGCTTGCGGAGGCTGTCTCGAACTGATACGTGCATGCTCTTTGCGCTTGTGCCTGTAAAATTGCTCTGCAGCGGTTCGTTCTCCCTATTGTAGGCCCTGTAGCCCGCTCCGTACTTAGTTGCGATCACCATCTGGTCTCTGTTGTTTCGCTTCTCCATCCACTCGCCGATAAGCTTCTCAGATTCTTCCGAATTGTAGGTATTCGAGGTATCGATGAAGTTGCCGCCGAGGTCAAAATAGGTGTCCAGCAGAGAGTCGGCATCCTCACTAACACCAAACAGTTTGCTCCACGAGTTGCCAATGCTGATTCCACCTAAGGAGATGGGTGAAACCTTGACGTTGGCAGTGGGCGACAAGACGCGGTGCCAGCCCAAGGCGGTCTTCGGCTTCGGCGGTGGTGCGAAGGGGTCCATGTCATCCGCGCTTTTCGAGGGACAGCAGTCTAGTCACTGTAGTTGGCAGCCTGAACACCTGTAATACAGATACGATGCAGCGTGTTCGCATTGTAAAGGTATGGTTTTGTCATCTCGAGCCCATGGCGTCATGCATGCATGGCCCACTTCCACCCGCACTCTGCTGACATCCTTGTCGTAACTCCGTTAGCGGAACTGGTCTGGCAAACTCCTTTGTATCGTGCTATGCCACTGCTGTGGAGTAATCGGCTTCTCGCCTCGTGTTCCGCGCCAGTAGTTTGTGGCTTCGTACACTTCGGGGCATCCGCTGAGCAGCCAGCCCCACTTCTCCAGGAATATGGGATCGATCTCCCAGCTGCGATGATCTTCGGGAGGACCCCATACTATCAGTATTGGTCTGCGATCTAGATGGTTGTATTCGCAGACATCGATGCATAGCTCGTCTTCATAGTCAACGGGCTCCGTTCGTTGAAACGCTTGCAGCATGTTGTCGCGCACCTTGGGCCAGGGGAACAGATCGAGCCAGGGGTGATGCTCTATGGAACTTTGTAATTCAGTGGGTTGTAGACATGCAGGCCATTCCGCTCCAGCTCCCGAACCCAAGAGTGGACCCTGCTTATTTAGTGGCGAGATGCCATACCAATCATAGTATTGTGCTGTAACCCCCAGTAGGTCGGCATTTCGCGCGAGACCACTAGCTACGTTATACTTGAGAAGCAGTGGTAAGTGTGACAAAGCGGGTGTCCCTTGCATGTAGCTGGCATATGCATGTTCGGAGAAGCGCTGCATGAGCTCTTTCACTTTCGGATGAGCGGCCATGCATGACTTCCGCATCATTGTGCCATCCAGCTCGCTGGAGCTATCTTGAGAAGCATCGGACGTGCTGCCTTCACGACCCGATGCATCGCTCTCATGGGTATCGTCAGGTATGATGACACTACGTGGCTGTTTGATGATGGCATTCTTCTTTTGAGCGCGATTTCCTGGAGGATGTTAGATTTTACTCTTTGCTTTTGGTGAACTATCCGATAGGGCCACTCACTCCGTGCTCGCTGGTTTAAGCGGTTCTGCAATTTTCGCCTTTCAACGGGATTCGTCACGCCCATCCAATCTTCTTTCTCGCTGCGCAGCTCGGGTCGCTGAGACGACCAAGCTAGCTCAATAGGAGCACCTGGATGGCTTGAATCTGATGACATCGGAGTTGCTGACATTACGGCAAGGGAAGATCGCGTTTGAAGTTGTTATCCTCCGAGCGAGGAACGAGCATATATGCAGATTGATGACGGTTCGCAAATCGGACCTTTGCGTTTGAGCCCCGCTTCGACAAACAGCATAGCCGCATCACGTTTTGAGGTGGTATCGAAGATTTGACGTCTAGTCTGCGCTGATGATGCTTCGATTGGCCGTCAGCAGCCTGCATAAAGTCCGCGTTAGCTTCCACTAGTGCCTGGGCTGATGCACCGGTGCCACGAGAACAGCGGCTGGACCCACTACCGGATCGTTCTCGTACTCGCACTCGCAATTTGGCTATGTGTAAAGAAGGAGAAATGCGCGCTGTCCTAGTTGTAATCATGAACAAACATGAACAACGGAAGCCAATGTCAGTCTTATCACTTGATCATACGTACCAAACATGTCGCGCAGGGTGCAGATATAGCCGGATAATGCGCACAACGGTTCAGCTTGTATAAGTCTCAACTGCTCGGATTCTTTGACTATCTCCGTTCATTGAATCTTCATCATACGGAGCTTAGCCTTCTTGTCGCCGATTATTCCTAAGCCCGAAGGAAAAGATGTTACGCACGCTTCGTGGCTCAGTCAATATCTTACGTCCTGTTACACATCGGATCCGCAGCTTTTGTAGTTTTGATTCGTTTCCACGTATAGTGGTCGTATTTTATTTATTGGTTTTATGGCTTGACCACTGAGAGTCAGACAGACTTCCCCGATCGTGTAAGCTTGTCTTTCCATCTTTCTCGTAGAGACAATAAGTGATCATTCTACCATGACCTAACCTTCTCATTTTCACCCTTGCGACACCAACGGGCAGTAAATCTGTTCGTAGAGCGTTGCTAAAGTTACTCAGTTACGCGCCCGTCGGCTCGCGGCCCATCAGACACAGGACCTCCGTCGTAGAAATGCTCACATCCATCTCCCCCGTCGTGGTGGTCTCTGGTATCGGACAACTCAAGCACTTGTGCTCTATTTATCAGCAGCAGGGACACGGTCGAGTGGAATGGTCTCGTTATCCCGGATAAGTACTGCTGGCCGGTCAAATTCGAACACGATCTCTAGTGCCGGCCTGCTTTGGGTAAGAAACTCAAGGAACTCGCGACGGAAAGCCTCGTGGTAGACGCCACGGAATTCGAGATATCGCAGCTTGGGTACGAAAGTCTTGTCGTTCAGCCACTCGAGTGTGCTGTTGAGACGTATGCGCTTGGACTTCTGGCCTTGGACGACTGTCAGGGTGACGGATTCGATGTTCGCACAGTTCTTGAGGATAGTTGGGAATGCGGTACGAGTGAGCTTGGATGTGCCGTGGAGAGCAATAACCTCTAGTTGAGGCAGGGCTTTGGTGAGTTTCTCCACGCCGGCACTTGTGATCTCAATTGCCTCCTTCCTTTCGGCGTCACCGGCGACGAACACACGGACTGCACTTCGGAACGTAGCGTCTGCATTCGCGATGACGTCAATGAGGGTGCTGATTATGATCAGCAAAAGTGACTACAGTTTGGGACAGAGTCAGACATACTCGTCAAGGTTGATACCCGAAGCGAAGACCAGCTTCTGAACAGGTTTCGCGGTGCTATCAAACTTGGTCGATGCATCTACATGTAGCGTCTGCTCATCGGAGATCGCAGCGGGCTGATACTCGATGGGTTGCCCTTTTCTGGCCTTTGCACGCTTCTCGAATTCAGAGTACTTCTCAGCTGGGGGTTGAGCCTCCAAACGTGCATCCCATTTCTCTTTTGGCTCTTCCCAAGGTCCATAGGGCTGGGTGGCTGGAATCTCTTCATCAGGACTCGTGTCCGACCCCGCTTGTCGCTCCTCAATCACCTTGAGGCGTTGGAGCTCCCTCTCCTTCTCCTTCTGCTTCTTCTTCTTGGCTGATCCGGATAGTGGCGCCATGATGTCGTTTGTAAGTATACGACGTTTCGTGACTTGAAGAAGCCAGGTGTCGAGGTATGGAAAGAAGAGAATACCGGAAGGCGGGGGTTCCCCACAATTTCCATCCACTTTACCGCAAGAGGCTTAGGCACCTCGCGACCCTTTCGTAACTCAAGCTTCACACCCCGCATGCGCTTCTCTCTTGTCCTCACTAAGCGTTGTAGTCCCAGTACTACAACGACTGGAATACGTCTTAAAATCGCACGGTCGCGTGCCGAGACGACCGGCAAGCTATCGCCCCTCTTACCGTATCAGTGCTGAGAAGACGATGAAGTCAGAAGGACTGAGTCCATCATATCGAATGGCAACTCTGTTATTCATATGTTAAACTTAGGTGTACCGGGACTGCGATAAATGGCTGGCTCTTCAGACCCATCTAATTGGCTCGCAGGAATGGCCTGACCGAGAGCGAGCAGGTTCGGAGTAATCTCTTCGGATATAACATCGATTGATCGGAATGTCTAGTCATCCGGAGCAATGTTGTCCGGAGAAACCACACACAACAGTACTGTATCTTGAAAGGAGAATACGCGATACCAGCATCGCCGTTTCTGAGCTTCCTCATGCTTCCTAGTGCTGGCCGCCTGAGGGAGCAACGTTGATGACTCATATGAGTCTAGGCTTCCATACGTACCCCGTTGACGCGTCCAGTGTATGTTCATAAACAAGCCCAGGACAGCGGAGGCCTTGGTTACTAGCAGACATCAACTGAACTCTCTCCTCAAACTTCATAATGTCACCATACGACTTCCACTTCTTGACTCCTCGCCTTTACCTTTCCTACTGCAACCCATCATCTGATGCACACTGCGACTTTGTCATCGAGCTCCTTCATGGGGCTCCCTCTGTTCGACGGCATCCAAACATTATGGGAGAAGTACCAGATCGCGAAGGTGCCAGGAAAATTATAAGCAACGGGGATGAGAAACTCCGCACGACGGGCTATGGACGGTACCTAGTCAGCTTGAAACCATCCCCAGCGGAAGAAGAAAGGAACGCTGGCATTCCGTTCTCACAAAGGAAACTAGAACACATCGGTTATGTCACCATGCAACTCGGTCGTGTCCCAGGCGAACAAGCACCTACCATACCGGACTTGGGCTTCAACATGATTGAGCGTTATCATGGGAAAGGGTATGCAACCGAAGCTGCACAAGGCCTGATCACCTACTTTGATGAAAAGAAGGGCGTAAAAGAGATTGCAGGTCTGACTGACCCCGACAATGAAGAAGCGCAAAAATTGTTTAGAAGATTGCGTTTCAGGAACCATGGGGTGAGGAGTGTAAAAGGTGTTCGGTGGTCAGGTGAGGAACTTGATGTGGATGTTTGGACCTTTGGATTGGAAGATGGTAGAAAACTGGAGGACTTTGGGCTCTAATTTAATCCAAATGTTGCACATTATATCACCTTCTATCTGTCTTGGACTTGACTCGAAGATCGAGGAGACGCGTGTGTCCCGGCTTCAATCTTGGAATCACCAATCTTCCCATCGATTGACGGGCTTCCCGCCTCAGTATCAACCTCAACCCCTTCCAAATACTCAAAGCCGGTTATAATTCGTGGAATGAGTGTCTCCTCAGCTGGGAAGAACAGGTTGCAAAAGTAGTACAAGAATATGGACAAAAAGAATCCATAAAGCCAATTGAACGTGAAGAGGTTCTGTAAGCCAGCTGAAAGCTTCAAACTTGGGTTCACTTTGTTGGCCAATCCTGGTAGTAGAGGGATGATGGTGACGAATGTGGCAACCACAGCGCGCCAGTTTGTACCATAGCGACCATATCGGTAGATACCTCGTGGATCATACAAAGCAGGCACGTCGTACCTTCTGTGCTTGACTAACCAGTAGTCGGAAAACAGGATACCTGCCATGGGCGCCATGAAGATGGCGTATGCGCTCATGAAGTTTAGGAACGCCTTTCCAGAAGCCACGATAGTCCAAGGGCATAGCGCCCAGCCACCAACGAAAGCCACAAAAACGGAGCCGCGGCGCACGTTGATGTACTTTGGTGCGAGTGTCGTGACGTCGTTAGCAAAAGAAACGGCGTTTGCACTAATGTTAACGCTGAGTTGGCCGAGTTCCCAAATCGAAGCACAGAAGAAAGCTGCTGCACGACCACCAGAAGTGTCCATCCAGGTATCGATGATTTGCAGTGGTGTCCAATAAGCCGTGCCCCAGATTTCCTGGGCGGCCGATGCGGAGACAATCCCCATAAGAGCGACCATGGTCTTGAAGAACGGAATCACCGGCATCTGCCAGCGAATAGAGAACATGAGAGTTCGGTCATTGTGCTTCACAATATCTCTGTTCATGGGGCTGACACCATGTGCCATCTTTTCCTCCTTCCATCACTGTACAGTGATAAGAATATCTATATCGTCACATCGTTTCTTCTTGTAACATCGCGCAGCCTCAGTTCAGACATCAGAGATGAGAAACCGTATCTTTTGATGCTTGAAAATAATTGTTCTTTATGTATGACATGCCATCTTTTCTAGTCTAAACGCGGCTATCCGAATAGCCTCTCATTGTCGAGCTGTGCTTAAGGAGTAATTGATGGCAGGAAGTGTGTTGACTACATAGGTGGACAGGCACCATTAGGATAAAGCAGCGTGATGTTGATGTTGCCCATAAAAAGTTGGTTTATCGTAGCAATTGTCCTAGCATGAGGGGTAGGTTGCGCCGTAGGATGCGTCGTAGATCCCATCATGTTCTTCATCGTAGAGGTGGTGGAGTTCGCTGTACAGTGGCTAGCAGATTCAACACCTAGAGAAGAGGTCAACCAAATCGAGCTCACATTGATTACCACTTCTCTAGCATACCATCTTGTCTAAGGCTTTTGCTCCGATAGCGTCTAACAAGGTGCCAGATGAGAACAACCAAAGGAGGGCAAGCCACGAAAAGAGTAACGATAGCGATGAGAGCCTCATTCGACAGAGACGGCATATTGTCTAAACGAAATAGGAAGTGGGTGAATGTAACGATTGCAAACGACTCAGCCAACAGGTAGTATATACAATCGAGATGGAAATTTGTGCGTTGGCGCTGCTACTTGTCGTCTTGAAGATGTCATGTCAACAGCGGTCAAAGACCATCTTATGATGAGTTCACGGATGTGCATTGCCGAAATCAACGCCAAATCCTCGTGAAGAGCTAGATCGACATGGGATCTTGGAGAAGAGGGCCACCGAATTCGACATACTGAGCCTCTTCCCAGCCCGCCGGAGCAGCTACCGTGAAGATGCATTTGCTTGTACAACCTGCCCAAGTATGGGAAAGGGTTAGAGTAGCATGCCGACATATTTTCTTGTACGACCTGATCGAATCAGAAAGAGGGGTACATACCATGTGGCCACGTTTGTCTGCATGTCACCGATGATGTTATAGGCCTTACGCCTCGTCACTCTCGTGCTACCGCAGAGCTCGTTTGAGGGAACGAAGAAGGGTTCTGGGTTAGTGAGAAACGGAGTTCAGCGAAGGCATGGCATAGCTACCAAGATGGCGGTAATACTACAGAGTATGAGACATTGTGTACGTAACGGCTGCGCAGATTCTGTTGTCTAGTGTTCCATTTCCGTGTCTACCTGGATAAGTGTCATAAAATGACTTACACCTCGCAGACGCCGAGTTTTCCGAGAACGCCTAAGTCGTTGCCGGGCTCAGAACTTCGGGAGTTGATGAAGTAGTTACCGAGATTCCGAGCGATGTCGGGACGGAACAGACGAAGTTGGGTTTAGGAGAGCCCGACAGTTAAGGCCTCCGTAGGATTAACGCCCACGTATACAACTCACCGGCAGGCTTACCAGAAATTCTGATATCTGCTGTCAAAAGTCTGAGCAGCTCTTAAATTCTGTGCGACCAAGCCAGCCTCATAGCTTCGATCGAGGTTTGTTGTCTTACAGGGTGATGTAACTACCCTATAAATCGTTAGAAGTGACAGCTTCTTGAGAACGCGCGCGTCTCATTTCCTTTAACCAGGTATGGACAGCAGCTCAAGTGCTGTCATAAACTTTTCAACACTCCCTGAAGATTATGCTAGTATCTGGGTGACATCGGTAGCGATGCGTTTAGGGTACGAAGTGACGACCTTGCGTGACATCTACGCATTCCAGAGAGGTGAACGACAGATCTTGGAGGTGGCTCGCCGAGCGACTCGATCCGGCTGCCAACAGGTGTGTGCCTTGCCTTTTGCCCCAATTCCAAGACACTAAGCGCAATTGAGTACCTAGCTCATGTCGCTTCTCTCCATGTACGTGGTGTTGGGATATGCGCTAGACAACGGTCCCGAGGGCGTATAGGAGATGCAACTTCGCTTGACAGCAATCATGACAGTATGCCTAGAAATAGTGCATACGGAGGGCAAAAAGTAACTAGATACGTTTGTTGAACGCACTATAGACTAGTGTCAAGTACAGCTTGTCTCGCTGTCGCTCTTCCTTGCATGTTCATTCACACTCTGCCTTCATAACCAAAAAAATGGCAAAAAAGAATGTACTGGACGCTGTGGGAATTGAACCCACGACCTTTCACAAGTACGCACGTTTGATGATGCGAAGCGACTGAAGAGGATTGTTAGGATGTTGAACGATGATGAGCGGAAGTTTGGTGGTGTCTTACAAATCATACCCCTGAGAGCATTGTTAGTTGTGTTGTTGTAGGAATTGGATTCAGTGGTAGCTTACCTAGACCAAGCGCCCTAGTGAGGATTGATGGCAAATTTGCTGGGTGAACTCTACTAGTCCACGACAATACCATATTAAGAGCATAAGTATGGATAGTCAATGGTGGAACGATGGAAATGACATGTCGAAATTCTTTGGCGGGGTCGGATCATTAGAGCCGCAGTGGGCAAGGTTAGCATAGCGGGGCAGTGGGCTGCGAATGAATGCGGGAACGCAAGCCTTCTCTGATACTATTTCTAGTTGCATACTTCGTAGAAGCAGAACAAGAATATTTACTAGCCTAAAGATAACGGAGATGCATATGTTCTAGATGATGTGTTGTTTGTAAGATCTTACAATGCGTCTGGCATACGCCTCAATTACCGTGTTATTTCTTCTTAAGATGTTAGGCACAGGGTGAGTAGACTATAGCACAGAAGAGTACGAGACATATCTCGACAAGCACAAATAGTGCATTTCTGTAAACATACAGTCTTAAGCATCAACCACGCAAGCAAGACACAAGGACAGCACAAAAGATTGTTACGTGAACATTATCATTCGTTTATTCATTCATCCTCAAGACAGCCTAATGATTTTACATAGGTCCTATGTCCGAGTCCTGGCTTATGATAGCCATATCGAAAGGAAGGTATCGCAAACTTCAACATTTCCTTATCCTCGTTTAGACCTTCTTAGAAGTAGTCTCCTCAGCGTGCTTCTCCAGAGTGTGCTGGGGGTTTGAGCTCAGGCTGTCCTTGGTGTTGTCGCTGGCCTTCTCAGCGCCCTCCTTGGGGCCGGCGCCTTGCTGGTTGACGTTGTTGGAGGTCTGGCCGGATTGCGCACCGGATTGGCGCTCGGGCTCGGGGGACTGGCGGCCGGCGTTGGGGGCAGACATTGTGATGGGTGGTGGGTATGTGAGTTGTTTTGGTGGCTGGAATGGGAGGTTAGTAGATGAACGTTTGGTCGCATGGAAGTAGTTGGGAGGTGGGTTCCGAGGTGGCTGGCTAGCTAGCTGAGAGCTTCAGGATAAACATACAATTGAGTAGGTGTAGTTGTAGTCTGTTCGTCGATTAGCCAACGCCCATGAAACTTCACGTCGAGAATTGAAACATACCTGTAGTAGAGCTTGTGAAAAGATGTGAGAGTGTCGATGGAGTTGTCCTCCGAAGCTGCCCCTCTGCCTCTTTTCATGCGCGAAGAAGCCCCACTAGGCCTGACGTCACATAGCGAAACGCGCTTGAATCGGGCAACATCGACGTCAACTTTCAATCAAACAGCGCGCAAGGGCCCATCGCGGGCTCGCGGGCCAGGGGATGCAATGCTTAGCAAGCGCGTGTGGTGCTTGCTAACAGGTTCGTTTGTGGTTCATGCAGCGATGCCCGGCCGTGGCTGTTATCACTCAACGCGTTGGGCGCGCCTCTTTCCCCATAGGCTTCGCCGAGCTGTCCGGGCATCTCGGTGGGTGTGCCGAGAGTGCCAGACATGTATACAGCATGGTATGAAATTGTGATTAATGCATTTATGTTGTCATAAGTTGATGATTACGTGCTTCGCTTCGCAATTCTATCAGGCATTCTTGCCCATCTCTATATCGGCATCACCACCATCACTGTCGTCATCCCATTCTCCCCCTTTGAGCCGCTTACCCAGCCAAAGACCCAACACTGTAGCTGCACTGGCAGCCAAGAACCAGCCCTCAAACCATCTCTCTGTGAAACCTGGTTCTAATGGCGCACCCAATGCATCACCGATTTTGCTCTTCATCTCAGGAGGCAAATTGCTCCTAAGGAGTAACGCCGAACTGATCACATAGGTCGCTGTAATTTGTGAGATGATGAGGGCGAAATTTGTTCTAGCGTGGTGTAGAAGACCGGGCACTACTCTGGCGAAGAGATAGAAGGTCTGGAGGACACTGTTGAATGACAATAGTAGCATCACCCCGGAGAGGAGGAAGGAAATGGTGCGGCTCCAGGCAACTCGGTCAATGGTTGGATCCCAATGCTTCGCTAGTAGGGCGAGGACGTTGTTGATAGGATCGTTGCTTGCGAAGCTCGCATTCGGAGATGAGAAGCGACGCAGGGTAGTGACAGTGGTCGCAATGATGCGGTACGCACAATATATAGCGAAAATGTACGAGACGATGTTGAACAGCTTTCCGTTGGCAGTATGTGAGCGCAGTTGGTTTTGTCGACGGTTTTGGAGCACCGTCAGGGAGTTCTGAAGTGTATGGCGCATAGTCTCGAGGCCTTGTATCTCAAGCTGTAGAGTATTTCGCTCCTGGACGTCAGGGTTTCCACGAATTGATCCTACTACGCGACCCATGAAGCCTTGCTGAGGGTTGTCCGCAAGTTTTCGTTCGACGGCACGAAGTCGGCTCTCTTTTGCCAGAAGCATGTCGTTTGTAGCTTGTATGCCGGCTTGCTTTCGACCGATGTCCGACTCGGTGACCTGTACCAGATTAGTATACGTAAAAGGCGCCTCGTACTACTGGAAAGAAAAATGCAGACTTACTGGGCGGTATTTGACGCCGAACGTGTGCCAGAGGGCAGATATGGCAGCAAATCCGGCTAGTGAGGCCATCAGACTGATGCCGATTATGCCAATTCTTTCCAGACAGCCCTCGCTAAATGTATGATCATGCTCATATGATTCTTCATGAAGATATGAGCCCAGTAGCCCTCGCCCAAGATACCAAAACCCTGCCAGCCATACTGCCAACCCACAGAGCTCCAATGCCCATGCTGCTCTGCGTCGACTCTTCTGCTCTCCATTAATGTTCAAGCCCGTCCCTGATATGATCGAGTGGATTTCGAAAGCCGGTGTTGCGACAACTAGAAGGAAGAGCAAGGAAGGTAGCGTGATCTTGAGGGCTAGTGTTCGCGTGGCGCGGTTTACGGTGTTGGAAATTTCGCAGAGGATAAGTTCGGCCAGTACAGCCGAAAGGGCAAAGTTGGTCGAGAAGATGATGCTTGCGAGCGATCGCGCATTTGGGCGTAGGCGGTTCACAATCGAGGTTCTTTCGCGCTGGATCGATCCAGGCAGCCGCGCACCGTCATGATGCGCTTTGCGATCCGCATTGCCAGACAAGATAGGGAAGAGCCTCTGCGACACGACAAAAGCGACAACCAAGAAGGTAAGAATGAAAGGTAGCGCCGATACGGCCACTTTCATCGGACTCCGGTGCAAGGCATAGTCCGGCATGCACTCATCGCAGTCGTCTTGGAGAATCGGGAACATCGGATCGGCGGTTCAGGTGGTCGGGAGCTAATGCGAGGTTGCTTGGTATTGCCAGTTCGTCCTGGTTATGGGAGAGGTGCGTATATCCATCGATTACGCGGCACGGTATGGATACGTTGACACATTGAGGTCCTGTGAATGTGTAAGGTTACGCAAGTGAGGCAATGAGGGACCGCCGAGGCTGGGGAACCGTAGGGGACGCGCATGCATGTCGTGGCGCCACAGCCACATGAAACGACGTCACGCCGATCAAACCGGGGTCTGGCAACAGCTTCCGAAACACCACAATTTACCGTCTTTAGGGCTGATGTGGGGAGCCTGATATCTTGGGTATTATTGCTAACACTACGCGCCTTCCGAGTCTTTCTGCGTCGAAGACGTGTCTTCGGACTTCTTCTGTGCTCCACTGGTGAGACTGTCCATGTAGGACATTGACGTATTTCCACCACCTGCATCTCCTTCGCCAAGGTTTAATTTCTCCGTTGCGCCTGTAACTTTATCCACAGCGGAGATCCCTGAAGTCGATACCCCGCCTTGGTCGTCCTCGTCCTCGCTGCTAGATTGACTACTGAGCTCAGGACTGTCTAAGTTTTGCAGATGTGGACTCTTCATCATAGGACCAGGACTTCGCGGATCATCTCCAACCAATGTACTAGTACCGGTGTCCAGTTCATCCTCGCTGCTGTCTGGCGCTTGTTCCACCTGTGCCAGAGGATGCGTGTCCGCTGCAGGTTTGGGTGCGGTCGCTGCGCCTCCAACTATCGCTGCCTCGTCCTCGTTCGCGAAGAAGCTGTTGCGAGGACTGTTGAATTCAGGAAGGCTTTCGCTCTTCGCGAGGATTTCTCTGTAGCCTTGGCGATCTGGATCATTTGTGCGCTTGCTCTTTGCTTTGTCGCGTTTCGACGTGGGACGGACAACGATGACAGGTACTGGTGAATGCTGGAGACAGTACTTGGACACACTACCCGGAAGTAGTCCCTGGAATCCACCTAAGCTCTTGCCTCGAGTTCCGACCACAAGAATCGCGGGTTCGTAGAGGTTGATCTGGACGGTCATTAGAGAGAAATACGGTTAATCCATGAACAAACTCACCATGTCGTCGATGACTTTATTAACCTTGCCAATTGAAAATTCCAATATGAGGTTGATCGCTTTGTTGTCGTGATTCCGGCTCTGTATGTCGGCCATGGTATGCTCTGCCTCTGAACGATATCGCCCAGTTTCCACGCTCCGCTCTCCGGCTATTGCATCTTCCTTCTCCACCACTCTGAGGCATACTATCTCATCTCCGTCGTCGACCAGCTCGTTTATGAGCCATTGCAGAGCATAAACTGAGTACTCGTTCTCGTCAAAGCCACATAGGAACGTCCGCGAACGCTTGGTGTACTCGTAGTCTTTGTGTTTGGCGATCAGTGTAAAAGAGCTCTCCTCGATGAAGTCTGCGGGCTTGTCGAAAGTGTCGAAAGATACACGAGGTTGGAAAACGCTAGACTGCGGTGTCAGCATGTGGTTTCACGACTTTGCAATCACCAGAGTGAGACGCCGCCAGATCGAGTGCTTCCTCTGCATTCTCCAACATACTGGGAGCATACTTCGCCATTTTTACTCGCCGTGAGTACTTGGACAGAAACATACAGGAGCAAAGATGCGCAAGCACTCGGATATGCGGGAAGCGCATGACATATGGTAAACCAGTACTTACGGTGGAGGCGGCGGTGACGACAATCGACGTCGTTCACGGGGCCTGGGGGCGCCTCTGGGTAGCGACGAATTTCTGTGTGCCAAAAACTGGATTGAAGGCTGCCGTATCTTGTCCTGCGCAAGGTGTCCGCCAGTCGGGAGCTGCAGCGGGCTCACTTTGTAAGATGCTGAGGACTTGCGAGGCGCTGGAGACGCATGCCGGCCGTCCCTCGACGTGGGGGACGCGCTCATAGTGATGTCGTAGTGAGATTACGGGCACGAGGTCCTGCACCAAGTCCAATCAGGCGAGCGGAGTGTCAGTGAGGTCCGACCGCGAGAAACTTGCTGGCGTGGGCTTGCGCAGGCGATCGGTGCTGCTGTGCGTCGTGGGCAGGGTCCTTGGCGCGGGGAATTAGCTGCTCGCGGGGTAAATGGGCGATTAATGATGGCAGTGGGGAATGTTGTAGCAGTCTCTGCAGAGGTCGTGTGAGAGGAGTGAAGGATCGGGTCAAAGTTTGGTAGTCGTTAATGCACTGTCTGTTCCAGGTGACGGCATGCTTGGCTTCTTGGTGGTGTGTCGCGCGATCCGCATCCATCGTGTTCAGACCCTGGCGTACCGCGGAACGCGCCGCTGGATGCGTTGACACATGTGAATGGAATGACATCAGATGAGGTGCCAATCTCTGGTGTCGCTGTAAAGCAGAATCAAAGATTAGAATTGAGTCGATTCGAGAAAACCTTCACAACGAAAGATGAGAACAATTGTCACAAGGGGAGGAATGCATGCATGTCATTATTCCCGCTAAGTCCAAGTCTAAATGTCTATCAAGAAATGGGTGCAGGCATTTCTCAAGCCAAAGCCTTGAGCTCACCCTGAGTAAGCTTCGCAGCACCAATGAGACGCTGGGCCTCCTCCTGGAAGATCGCCTTGATCTTGCCGGCGTCCTTCTCACTGTTGAGCTTGCTGGTGATGGCGGCCAGTTCCTCGTTGTCCATCTTGACAATGAGAAGATCGACGTCGTTGAGAGCGGCGTCGACTTGGGAAGCGGACGCATCGCCAGCACCGTGGAAGTAGTTGGCGTCCTTGACAGCACCACGGACAACACGCTTGTTCTTCTTGGCTGCGTTCTTCGCAGCCTCCTTCGCCTTCTTGTTGTCAGCCTTTGCGGCCTTTTCGGCAGCCTCCTTCTCAGCGGCAGCCTTGGCCTCCTCAGCCTTCTTCTTCTCGGCCTCTTCCTTTGCGGCCTTCTCAGCAGCCTCCTTTTCGAGACGGCGCTTGTTCTTCTGTGCGCTCTCTGCTTGACGGAACTTCTTGATACGCTCGTCAAGGGCCAGTGCATCGTCCACCATGTGCCTCAGACGAGCAGTGTCCTCGGTCTTCTTCTTGCGACGCGCAGCTTGGTTCTTGCGTTCGACGTGACGCTTCTGGTCACGGTTCTCATTATCATCCGGAACATCCTCATCGAGGTACTCAAAGGTCCTCCAGCTGTCGAAGTTGTACCAGAAGTTGTAGAAGTGCTCAACCTCCTCCTTGCTGCTGTTGGCATTGCCAAGCTTGGGCACAGGCTGGTTGTTCGAGAAACGTCCCTCGGCCTCGAAGACCTTGCCCCAAAGCTTGTAGAAGTTGCCCTTTTGCGTCTCCTTCTTGGATGGTGGCTCAACCTCAGCACCCTCGTCGACGGAGTCGAACTGCCTCCTCCTGACGGGGTCGGACAGAACTTCGTGGGCCTTTTGGATACACTTGAAAAATTGGTCGTCCTCGGTTGCGCCCTTGGCAGCCTTCTTGTCGGGGTGATGCTTAAGCACCTTCCTGCGGTGGGCGCGCTTGATCTGTTCGTCGGTGGCACGCCATCGGTAGCGGGTTATGCCGAGCACAGCGTAGTGGTCTTGAGACTGGGGAAAAATCAGTAAAATTCCAGGGTATGCTTGGTGCTATCGTTCTTACCTTCCAGTCCTTGGCCTCACGCTGCAGCATGACCGGGTCCTCAGGCTCGTCAATGTCATCAGGATCCTCCTCCTCGACACTCTTGACGTTGGCCTGGGCCTGGATGCGGTCATCCTCGGAGAAAGTACGCTTGTTGCGCTTCTGCAGGCAAATCGTCAGTACTGTATGTATTGTTGAGTCGTTCTTGGAATACAACGTACTCTGCGGGCATAGGCGAGGAAGTGTGGGCCAACAGGCTCGATCTTGCGGTCGCTTGCCTCGCTCAGCTGGCCGATGGCCTTGAAGTCTTTCTCGCCAGCCCAGCCCTCAGGCAGGACCGGCAGCGGTAGGGAGATCTCGACGTTTGCCATTGCGCAAGAATGTCGTTGTCGTGGTGGGGGACACAGGCTGCGTGAGAAAAAGTGAGGATTCCCGCCGCACTAGCTTACCGAACCGTGATGCTAGCGCCGTGACCCCCGATAGCGATCCATGTCACTGAGCCGCGACGGACCCCAGAACGTGTCAGAATAGTGTTTGTCTCCCATGCTTCGGTGTCTGATATTCCATTAACCAAATTTGTTACTTGTCTTCTTACATGTCTTGCTATACGTCTTCATAATTCAGCATCATCATGTTCCAGGTACCTCAACTCCTTCTAGGCTGCACCCCAGGAAAACTGACGAGAGACACAGCGCCTTCGCGGAGCCATCGACGCCAGAATAGCAGAAGAGCAAGCGCGCCAGAAAGCCACCACGCCGACGACACCTGCGCGATCCAGCTCAACAACACGGCGGTCCAATTCGCGGAACCTCTCGCCCTCGAAGCGAACAGCGAGATCGAAAGATGCCGACAGCAGCAAGACGGCGCCGGCAGGGAAGGGCCCTGACCCCTCAGAGTTTGACCCCGAGTTCGTCATAGGAGAGGAAGAAGATCAGCCGAGTCGAGCCGGCACACCGCGACCTAAGGAGAAGGCGCAGCCCACAGAAGCCAGTGCTGAGAATGGCGATGGCAAGAAGGAGGAGACAGAGGGACCGACTGCTGAAGTAGAAGAGAAGCCAGAACAGCCACCGGAGATACCACCAGAGGCCAAATTGCGGCTGCGCAGATTAGACAAACTTGAGCCCAAGTATACTGGTTGGTGATGTCTCGTGTTTGTATGCGCCAAGCTAATTCCCTTACCAGAGCTCCTCCGGTCGTACCGCATCGCACACGCCAGAGTGGGCGCAATCGAGGCCTTTGAGAGCTCCCTCCGCGAATACACGCCCCTCACCTCCATTAGCGACACTGGCGCATTTGTCGAATACCTAGGCCAACTCAACGTCAAGAGTGATATGCTCATGGAGGAACTCAAGCGGGTGTCCAAAGAACGCGATGAGCTCAACAAAAAGCTCGAGGATGCAGAGAAACGCGCAAAGGAGGCCACAGACGAGGTGGAGACTCTAAAGTCACAGGCGCCGGCGACCAACGAGGCTGCACAGGATGACTCTACCACGCAGACTGAATCCGTCGCACCTTCATCCCCTTCCAAAGCGTCCAAGCAGACCGAGACCACCGAAGAGACCGAAGACTTCTTCTCGTACGATAGCGAACTGCCTCGCTTGCAGTCCCAGCTACAAGAGAGCGAAGAGAAGATCGGAAAGCTCGAAGAGGAGAACAAGTCGCTCAAGAATGAGCTTTCCACGGCGCAAGAGTCCGCTCAGTCGTTCATGCAAAACTTGGAGACTACTACAAACGATTTAAACACGTTCAAGGATACGCATCAAAGGCTATCAAAAGACGCCGATGATCGTGAGAAAGAGCTCAACAACACAATCGCTGATCTCAAGTCAAAAGTTGACAGTGCCGAAGGAGAGCTCCAGAAACACAAGGATACGCATGACCAAAGTGAAAAGACCATCGCCGAGCTCAAGGCTAAGCTCGATTCAACGGCCAAAGAACTCGAGGATCTACATGCAGATAAGGGAGAGAAGATTGTGGAAAACGATCAGGTGCAAGAGCTTCAACGGCGAATCGAAGAGCTCCAGGGTGAACTTTCTCAACTGCGCGAAACACACGCCAAGGCCGAGAAGCGGAACGATACCATGGACGGGCTGCTTAGCAAAGTGCGCGAACAACTCAAGACTACAGAGACGAAGCGTGACAGTGCCTTGGCTGACCTCGAACAAGCAAAGAAAGACTTGCAGAAAGCTAATGACGAGAAGAAGACGACCAAACCAGAGCCGGTCCAACTACCACAAGCAACTCCTGCTCAAGCTCCCCAAAGCGCAGCGGCAAAGAAGAGGGCTCGTAACAAGAAGAACAAGAAGGGAGGAAACGGGCCCGCAGCTAGCGGAGCGTTGACGCCCGAAGCAACCCCTAGTGAAGCTGGAGACACTGAAGGGCTACTCAGCCCTCGTGATGCAGAGTTCACACCATCACAACTTGAGGATGCTTTGAAGAACGTTGCACAACTGAAGTCTGATCTAGAAGAGAAGGCTGCAGCAATTGACGAACTGCAGACTGAGGTGGCTGAGAAGGCATCATCTATCGACCTGCTCAAAAAGAAGGCCAAGGACCAGGAAGATATGCAGGAAGAGATCGACACTTTGCGTCAGGATCTTCTTGATTACGGCCTTGAGCATACTGAGGCTAAGGACAAGGTCAAGAGGTTGCAAGCCGAAAAGGCGGCACTTCAGGAGAACCTGAGCAAGCTGGAGGCTGAGATCGCCGAACTGAAGACTAGCAAAGCGTCTCAGGAGTCATCGCAGCAAGAGAGAGAGGCACTGACGGCAGAGTTCACAGAGCTAAAGTCAAAAGCAGAAACTCTGAAGATTGATCTTTCGGTTGCAGAGAAGCTTGCTGCATCTCGCTTCAAAGACCTCACCGACATGAGAGAGGTGTTGCAAAAGGCGCAGCCTGAGCTTACGTCGTTGCGCAAGGAGGTGGCCGAGTTACGCACTACCAAGGATGAGCTGACCAGCAAGACTACGGAAGTCCGGCGATTGGAAAACCGCGAGAAAGATCTCAGGTCGGAAATCACCGAATACCGGTCCCAGCTATCAACCAAGGAAAGCGACATCAAAACTCTCAATGACAAAATCAAACAGGAAACCAGCCAGAGGCTTGCGCTGGAGGAGACGAACAGAAAGATTCAGCGAGACCTTCAGAACTCCGAGACGGAGCGGGAAGACGTCATCGAAGCCCGGAACAAGGTGGCGACAGAGTTGATGAAGGCAAAAGTCGACCTCAAAGCATCACGCGGGAAGGTGCAGGATCTGGAAGAAGAAGTCGCGAAGCTCACTCGCGAAGTGGGGAGCCTACGTGAAGAAATTCAGATGAAGTCAGCCCAATCTGCGAGCGCGCAAGACTTCGTGAGCAGCATGCAGGACCAGGTACAAGAGATGAGTACTCAGATGAAAGAAGTGCGCTCCCGAAGCGAGAGCCTGGAAGAGGAGCTTGCCGACGCGCATCGTCTGCTCAGCGAACGCGGACGCGAAGCTGAGACGATGAGAAGGTTGTTGAATGACGCTCAAGGACGAGCTGAAACACGTGTGCGTGAGATGCAGGAGCGCCTCGACCTTGCAGTTGAGGAGCGCGAGCGTGCAGAGGAGCAAGCCAGCACATTCAGCCGCCGACGAGCCCGGGAGCTTGAGGAACTGAAGCAGAAGGTCCGCGACGCTGAACGTGCACAAGCGCGCGCTGTTGAGGACAAAGAAGACCTTGTGATTTCTGAAAGGGAGCTCCGCAAGCAGACAGAAGATCTCGAGAGGCGGGCCGCACAGGCTAGCGAAGAAGCTTCAGAAGTCAGGCTCGCCATGAGCCAACTCCGGGACGCACTTGATGAAAGTGAGAAGCAGGCTCACGAATTGGAAAAAGAAAAGAGCGATTTGCGACGGGCATTCGACGAGACCCAAGGCCGTATGGAGAAGCTTCAAAAGTCTAGCAAAGTACGTTCTTCAGCGACGATTGACGTACAACATACTGATGAACGGCAGACAATGTCCGACGAGCTACGAACTTTGAAGACACGTGGCCCTGAGTCCGTTGCTCAATCCTCGAGATCCTCGATTGAGTCATCACGATCGCGCATAGCGTCACCGATACCAAAGGGCGGTGGAGCTGTTGCAGAAGCAATCGACTACGTGTACTTGAAGAACGTATTGTTACAGTTCCTCGAGCAACGTGACAAAAAGTACCAGCAACAACTCATCCCCGTACTGGGAATGCTCCTGCACTTCGACAAGAAGGACGAGCAGAAGTGGATGGCAGCGGTCTCGGCCAAGTAGCGGCTGGTGCGGCTCTCCGCAACCAGACATGCAGATGATGATTCCAGCATGACTTGCAGATCAGGTATTAGCAGGTCGTAATGGAAGAGCGCGATGTGGAATGTAGGATATGGGATATTTATAGTTTTGCATAGCGATTTCTTCAAGGTCACGGTTTGGGCAAACATGTATGATATGGCGGTGGGGGTGCTGTGGCTCCTGCCTTGGGGGTTGGGCTGAGCAACAAGGCGCATGGCTCTTTCCGCAACAGGCGTATCTGTTTGACAATAATAACAAAGGCAGGAGAAGACGAAGGGACGATGATGCAATTCAGGGTTTCTTCAAGTGCTGTCAAGATGCGTGATGTTGACGTCTCCCGTGTAATATGACGGATCGGGTCGCGACAACAAGCATTGCTGGCAGCAAGCCTCCCTCATTGCTACCCGGGCCGATAGATGTAGGCAAGGAATTTGGTGCGCTAGACGAGCAAAGACGCAAGGCTTTTTGGGCAAAACTGGCTTCTGGGGAGGAACTAATGTGGTAGCAGGCGACTATTTGTAGGCGTCGACTGATGTCATAATTCGTCTCACCTGCTTCTTACCGCTTCCTCCGGCTTTGACGCGCATCCAGCCATCCGTCACCACCTCTATTACCATCCCAAGTCATAGCGAATTCTCCGAGAGGCGAGTCCAACTGAATTAATACCGCAGACCGCATCCCGCCCAGCGAGTCATCACCCGTGGTCGTTGCAGCACCTCGCATCCGTGCAATCCCCCACGTTAGCACCAATCAGGAGCCAGACATCGATAGACTGGCGAGGGGAGCGCTAAGCCCGTCTCCAGCAATTGAAGAAATCGCGAGGCAGTGCGACGAGAGAGCCACACTGCCCTCATAATATATATTCAAGCCCATAGTCTGCCTCTGTCCATGAGCGCTGCCCAACGCGTCCCCAGCGCCTAACCGTACATCGCATCCCAGCAGCCCTCGAGCCTCAGGCCCGCCCACAGCCCAGCGCGTGGCGGGGAAAGCCACCATGAATGGCACCGACATGAAGAAGGCGGCCATCAACAAGGCGAAGCAGGTCGCGCAGGCGGCGAACAGCAACGGCGGAAAGAAGCGACGGAAGGGCCAGGACCTGAAGCCGATAATCCCCACCGAGGGCCAGGGCAACCAGAACGCTTCGCCCGCTGGTTCGACGGGGTCCTTTCAGTACAAGTACGTTCCCCACCACCACACCTCTGCTGCCACCGCCCAGAGCCCCCATCTTTCACCCGCCAACCCCAAACACTGCGCCACTTCTCCACTCATTTTAATGCGCGCGCACACATGCACCGCCCAAGACATGATCTGACTGCAGCAACCCTATACTAACTCCAACCCCGCAGTGTGCAGAACGCCAATTCGCCGCTCGCCCAGCACAAGATGTACGGAAACCAATTAAGCCACTCGCCCGACTCGTCGTCGTCGTCGGTCGATGAAGCCGAAAACACAGCCGACGAGGAGGACTCTGAGGACTACTGCAAGGGCGGCTACCACCCGGTCCAGGTGGGTGAGGAGTACAAGGACGGCAAGTACACAATTGTGCGCAAGCTTGGGTGGGGTCATTTCTCGACCGTCTGGCTGTCGAGGGATAACACCAACGGCAAGCACGTCGCCCTCAAAGTCGTGCGCTCCGCTGCGCATTACACAGAGACCGCGCTCGACGAGATCAAGCTCCTCAAGAAGGTAGTCGACGCGAACGAGAAACACCCCGGCCGGAAACATGTCGTCAGCCTACTCGATTCCTTCAACCACAAGGGCCCCAATGGTGTTCACGTCTGCATGGTTTTTGAAGTGCTAGGAGAGAATTTGTTGGGCCTGATCAAGAGGTGGAACCACCGGGGTATACCCATGCCTCTGGTCAAGCAGATCACAAAGCAAGTCTTGCTCGGCCTCGACTACCTCCACCGCGAGTGCGGCATCATTCACACCGATTTGAAGCCCGAGAATGTTCTCATCGAGATTGGCGACGTCGAACAAATCGTAAAGACATACGTAAAGGATGAACCAAAGAAGAAGGACAGTGAAGACAGCGTGAGGAACGGCAGGCGGAGACGGAGGACCCTCATCACGGGAAGTCAGCCGCTCCCTAGTCCGCTCAACGCGAGCTTCAACCACGCCGACATCTCTAGCTTCCCCGGCATGGGAGGTCCACAAAGCCTCAACAAGGTCATGAGCGAGGGTACAGGTAAAGACTCCCCCACGACTATTCCGAGTCCTCCTTCTTCATCAGACGGTGTCGTAATGAGTGGTGCTCTAGCAACTCCATCCGCTACTCCCAGCCTATCCATGGCAGAACGGCTCGGTATCAAGTCGTCTACCGAAGACGACGCGCAGAAGCAACGGGAAAAGTCCGCGTAAGTTGTGAAGTTATCCACATTGGGAAGTGTACTAATTCCTTCAGCGATCTTCTTACCAAGGAGGTATCAGGCATTAGCCTCGACAAACCCAGCAGCTCGTCCGGCAAGACAGAGCTCGAGCAGCAAGTCGAAAACGCTTTTGAAACCATTTCAGTTAAGATTGCCGATCTTGGAAACGCCTGCTGGGTCGGCCACCACTTTACCAATGACATTCAAACTAGACAATATAGGTCACCAGAAGTTATCCTGGGTAGTAAATGGGGTGCTAGTACCGATGTCTGGAGTATGGCCGCAATGGTATGAGCGCTAATCAACACGAGAGACACGAGCTGACATCACTAGACATTCGAACTCATCACCGGCGACTACCTCTTTGACCCACAATCTGGAACAAAATACGGCAAAGACGATGACCACATCGCACAGATCATCGAACTCCTAGGCACCTTCCCGAAGGGTCTATGCATGTCGGGAAAATGGTCTCAGGAAATATTCAACCGCAAGGGCGAACTTCGAAACATTCACCGATTACGACACTGGGCTCTTCCCGACGTCCTCCACGAGAAGTATCATTTCAGCGCCGAGGAGAGTAAGAAGATTGCCGATTTCTTGTTACCTATGTTAGAGCTGTTGCCAGTGGACCGAGCAAATGCGGGTGGAATGGCAGGACATGACTTTTTGAAGGATACGAAGGGTATGGAGGGTATGGATCTGAATATCCCTGTCGGTAGTAAAGGGGAGGGGATTGAAGGGTGGGCTACGGAGATAAAGAAGACGCGGTAGATCTTGCCCTTCTTCATGAGCAGGTGAAGCTGAGTTGTAAAGGCATGAAGACTTACTGCACTGGTTAGCCTTTTTTGTATGAGCAAATGAAGTGTACCTTGCGCCTTTTTTTTTCTGGTCATGAGCGGTTGGAGTTTTCGATTGTCGCACTGGGGCGAATAACGGATTAGAAGAATTATGACTACGACTCAATGTACACTGCGCTTTCAGGTGCATGATGGTTCATAGACGGCATCTTACAAGTTTATGAGGTGGACTGCATTGGACCGGAGTCTCGTATCTGTATGTCTCCGTATTACCTTTTCACGTCGTCCGCCCGTCTCCTTTTCTAGTACGAGGCTATCTTGTTCAAACGCTGGCGGCCGCGTGCGGCGACACTCAGATTGGATAATTTGGTGCACAATCTTGTGGCAATGTCCAGATGCCTTTCGTATCTCGATGCTACAGTGCGCATGTATGGCGTCATTTTATTCGGATGTACGATTAAGCATGATCGTCAGTCTTGTGTTTGTATATTTGTACAAACCCAATATTTCCGTCTTCGTGTTCGCGAGCTAAAGTTAGCCACGACGAACAGCCACAGCTCATATTGGGATGGCTGGGATCAGCTAGTGGGGCGAGCGCTTCGTCATCGGCCCACGCGGCTTTAACACAGGCCTGACAATGGTACCTGACGCGGCCGTAGACGCGACCCTCTCGTTCCTGAACGACATTGGACGTGGGCCATATCCACGGGTGCGGATGGTGATCAGGGATGCCGATGGCTATCGAAATGAATAAATGACCCACTTTGATGGGGCTGTGGTGGCTACCGAAGCGTCGATAACCTCCTCGTTCAAGCTTTCTGGGATTTGATTAAAGGTGTGGGTACGCGGCTCTTTTTTGATGCTTATCCTCATATCCAAGTCTTCCTTTTTGTCTCATCGCTGAGTTGCTGTCGTTTCTGCTCTTTCTTACTTCCAAGGACATTCGTTTGGAGCGGTCGATCAACTTGGTATTGTTTAACTCTTTCATAATGCATTTCCCCAGCGTCTCCGTACTCCCTCTTTCTCTCATCCTCTCCGCAGCCATCCCCGCTCTTGCTCAAACATCCACATCATGTGATCCTACCAAGAAATCCTGCCCAGCGGATACCGCCCTCTCCTCGTCAATATACACCCACGACTTTACTAAGGGTGCCGACGACGACAACTGGAAAGTTACCGCTGGTGACATTTCTTACACCAGCAAGGGCGCGGAATTCACAATCAACAAAGCTGGTGACGCACCAACGATCCAATCACAATGGTACATCTTCTTCGGCAGCGTGAGCTTCATCATGACAGCTGCGCCGGGTACGGGTGTGGTTAGCAGTGCGATTCTTGAGAGTGATGATCTGGATGAGATCGACTGGGAGTGGTTGGGTGGAGAGCCTGCGAATGTTCAGAGTAAGTTACAGTCTCTTTCCACCTCCCCTAATATGGGGTACCTACGCGGAAGGGGAGAACGCTAACATATCCCCTTTATAGCAAACTACTTCGGAAAGGGAAACACAACAACCCACGACCGTGAAGCAGACGCCGCTGTCACTGACACCCAAGGCACAACCCACAACTACACCATCCACTGGACCTCTGACTCTACATCATGGCTCGTCGACGACAAAGTCGTCCGTACCCTCCAGTTCGCCGATGCAAACGGCGGTAGCAACTACCCTCAAACCCCCATGAACGTCCGTATTGGTATCTGGGCTGGAGGCGACCCAAACAATGCAGAGGGCACTATTGAGTGGGCCGGTGGCGAGACAGACTACAGCAAAGCGCCTTATACCATGGTCTTGGAGAAGGTCGAGGTCAGGAACGAGAACCCTGGAAGCAGCTACTCCTACAGCGATATGACTGGTGGTTTTGAGAGCATCGTCACCGATGGAAAGGGTAGCAATGCGAAGAAGAGTGACACTGAAGAGGGAACAAAGTCATCTTCTGCCTCTGGCTCTGCTACTGCTTCTGCTTCCGGTTCTGCTAGCCCATCAGCCACGGTCAATGTAGCTGGTGGTGTGGGAGGAGAGTGGGCTTCGGCCATTAGCAACAGTACTGGTGCATCTACCACAGCAAGCATGGCTACTTCGGCTAGTGCTACAGGAAGTGCTACAGGAAGCGCTGCGGCGGCTGAGAACACTAACTCTGGTGCTATGACGAGTAAGAGCCTGGGCGGAAGTCTTCTTGTTCTGGCTGGTGCGGTCATGGTAATGTTGTAGACTTAGACGGTAGTATTAATTAGACGGTTATATTTAGGGATACTCTTGTGACGTCGAGCTGAGTGATGTTTTTGTCTCATCATGCAAAGTGCTACACATGTGAATGGAGTAATATACGCACATTATTGGGTGTTAATCAAAGCCAGGAATAAAAGCTTCACACCAATCACAGGTCAAGGCGAAGAGATATTTTGGATACTTTTTACATTGCTAGCCTAGAAACTATGCAAAGCGTCCATCGTTCTCATGACGACCACTCTCTTCCCCTGTTCAACACCGAAGACTGTCGATAGATGAGCCGCACAGGTATGCAGGTGCGACCAGGTCAGGAAGTAGGTTGCGAGGCGATCGTTCCATTTCATACTGGAGGGCCGAAAGGCATTCGAAAACCTCCGTTTTCATCTAGGAGTATGATACGACCAGCTATACCGCGGAGTTCTAGATTCATGGTGTCTTCGGATGGATTTTCGAAGCTAGGCTCATCCTCAGCCTTGGAATTTTTGGGACTGAGCTTCATCTCTTCTTGGCACACCATGGAATTCATGAGAACATTGTTATCTTCCTTCTGTACGAACTTGCGGAGTATGGCGGCTGCCACTGGGAAGATGCTGGCATGATGTCGCGGGTGCCCACCCAGATCGTAGAGCATATCCCCGATGACATCGTTCATTGATAGCCCTCCAGTGAACTTGGATACGGGATAGTCGAGCGGCGCGAAAGTAAGAGCGTATTTCTGGATCTCCTGTAGTAGCCGGATACATCTAAGGTTTAGATCCATAACATCGAATGCGAAAGCAGACTCGTCTCTCTCGATCGCTAACTTGAGGATGCTGAGTTTCGAGAGAGAGGATAGCGGTTTGCGTGTATTATCAGGTTTGCCTTGAAAGTCGTTGACTAGACACTCTACCATGACAAGGATATCATTCTTCGCTTTGCTCACACCCACAGGCTTCTTGCGTCGTGGCTCCCTATCTGTACCTAGCTCGCAGCGCCGTGCATGATACTCGAGGCGACGGACCCCGCCAATGTTGCACTCTGTCTCTGCTTCTGAGTTGCGGGACCTGTAATCCGCAGTGAACTTATGAGCAGAGAAGCCCAATATGAGGTTCATATGCTTTCCAAAAGTGGAACCTTGCTTCGGTCGCTTGCCCATGAACATCCAATCGCTACCTTGCCGCTCAATGAGCCAGTCCATGTCGGTCCACTGCCAGCCTTCTGGTAGATTCCCAGATCGCTGGACAGCATTGTAGAGGTGAGCTGAGACAATAATCTGTCCTTGATTGGATGCCATGTCGATGGCTGTCCTGTGATAATCATCACGCATGTTCGCTGAGATCAAACCACATAGCCCAGGATCGTGATTGAGTAATGAGAAACCAGGGATGTTATCGAATGGTCGACTTGTTTGCTTTTCGCACTAATCGAACCCTTCCTGAACCAATGTATCATTGAGCAAGATTTCAATGAATTTTTTGCGTCTGACAATGTCTTCGCGAAATGTGACATGCGTAGCGCCAACGTTCTCAAGGCCTTCAACGTCGAGGTACGCTTTATAGCGTTCGATAAGCTATTGCCCGGTCTTATCAAAGAGCATCTTGCCAAGATGCAGACATGACCCTAACTCTCTCTGCATGTCCCAAAATATTTGTAAGGAGAATATGATCCAACTATTCAGATTTCGGTCGTATAGCATGTTATTCGCAGCCTTACGCACCATATAGCTATCAGGCATCGGCTCTTCATCTGGCGTCGATACAAACTGTGAAATGCACTTGAGGAATCTCCTCTCGTCGTTGGTAAGTCGACACTTTTCTTTTGTCTTTTCAAGCCAGAAGATCCCAATAACCAATTCGGTGGTATGCGTACACATCACAGTGTCCGAATGTAGTATCTGCTTTCCTTCTTTGTAGGCAAAAGGGTCGCTATCCTCATCGCCTCCATCGATGAAAGCTGGACCTTTACCACTCTTGCTGTAGCTGCCATATATGAATTTGACGATCTCCAAGTGCATTTTCTGCGACCCAGATTCCTTGAAGCGTGGATGGGCTTGTTCGAATTCGTTGCCCAACTTCTCGATCATAGCCAGGGCGGCGTTCATGGTCAACGCGGCGGCTTGGAGACCTATGTCGCCCTTCGCGAACTCACGCCAAGTTCGCCTAACAGCAAGTCTGAGATGTGTAGCGTCCTTGAGAAAGCAGTATATGGCGAAGGAAACGTCGGTATCAGACGGTTCGAGCTTGTAAGAAACCTTCTGTGTGGCGGGTCTGACTGGACTCTGGATGGCTTCTGGCATATCTTCCATGTCTAAAGGCTCCTCGAACTTCAAGTGCTCAAACGCGTTGCTGGTGTGTAGCGGTGTAGTCTTAGCAGCCTTGAGTGGCTGGCGTTGGGTCTGCGGCAGTTTCGGCTTGATGATCTCCAGGACGTCCTCCAAAAGCTTGATGAAGTGTCTGTGGCCGGCATTGCTCTCCTTGGCGGCATTGTTTACTTGATCAGATATCATGGAGTACCAAACTGCACAATCTTTGCGACCCCGAATGACTGCACGCAAGGTTGTGAAGACCTCAGGCGGAACACACGTGCGCCTGTCAGCGGCAATAGCAGTCGCAAGAGTGAGGAACGACTTGGTCGTGATCTGACATGTGGCGGTAGCATTTTGCGTCAGTCCAGCTTTCTTTGCCTCTTTCCTAGCCGCTCCCTTCAGTCTGCCTCCGGTAGGCGGTACCACGTCTTGACGACTGTCTTTGAACACATCATTGACAGTACCAGTTGCGCGGGCTGTCTCCGCTAGCCACTGGACGAAGTTGTTTGTTCCTTTTTTGTACTTGCGGTAAGTATCGACGAGTAGAGGCGCAAGCCCCATTATCGGCGATGTGGATGGTGCGTGAACGTGGGTATGGTGTGTCGCAGTTGTGTGCTATGTTGTTGGATTTGAAGAGTTGGAAGTAGTTGGACGAAGCTGAGTGAAACTTGTTTGTGAAGATCCTCGGTGAAGGTGAGATTGAAAGTGCCAGAAGCACTATCACACAGGTGGTAGCGAAAGGACTTGACTAGAGACATGTTTGATAGAACGCGGTGATAGACACGTGTCGCACACGAATCGAAAGGAACCATCCTAAAGATTGGGGGAATCATAGATGTAAATCCAGCCATTTCTGCCGATAGCGCCTGAGAGTAGATACGCATTCATTGTGACTTCAGTCACGCAGTATCGAGAATAGAAAGCAAACGCTCTGTGTGTCAATACCAACCTCGAGCATCAAGGGCTTGATGCGTGACGTACGACCTTGCTAGGGAATGCAATCTCAAGGTATCGTCATCAGGCTGCAGGGGAAAAAGACAACAAAACAAACACGATGACTCCAGAATTTCGTGAGTAGACTTGAGCACCCTGTAGAAGACCAGAGCAAGATTGAGACGTACTGCAGTTCAAGATCTCCCGAACCCAGATCTTTGAGCCATGACCACATAGCTGCCGGGTCTAAGGCCATAGCCTTCGGGTGATCTCGTAAGGCTTTTCATCGCTATACCCCAGCTCGTCAGAGAGAACACGATAGAAGCTAAGCACGCGTCACGGCGGAATACAGTCTTAAAACCCCAGTCATTCACAAATGTAGTCTTCGATAGAAAGATAAAGTGATTGTGCTGGAGACACGCAATACAAGAAATTCGATGTTCGCGTTCGTTGGCAGTCTTTGAGCGCAAAGGTGATGACGACACGCGGTAGTAGCGCGATTGGTAAACGGCGCTAGGTAGAACGTGGCTGTTGCGGGTGCGATCAGGCACCTGTAGTAGTCTTTGAGCATCACACGCCTTCCTGTCCTGACGTTATTCAGCTACTGCTCATACCACACCCAAAATGTTCACTGCTGCTTGGAACCGATCAACTCCAATCACCCTCATGTACTGCAGAAGAACTTCCCCGGGATTGTGCTGAACCCTATGTCGTCCGGGTTACTTACACAACAAGTTATGATATGTCATTGGTGACCAAGTAGGGTTGCATGTTACTCGGAAAAGCTTTAATGTAGCGGGAGCTGTTGAGATGTGGTTGACAAGTAGAATGATTGGGTCGAGTATCACTTGCGGCTGCTCAGCCTCACACTGCCCCGCTCAGCACTGCCGAGCCGTGTCCATCTAGACTATTCATTTATCGTCAACTGCACTTTGGAGTGGCTGAGGTTCTACTGATGCGCATTCATATCTCTCTGGCGTAACCAAACTTGCTGACTTTGCGCTGAGGTTCACGCATACCAGCGTTACCCGAAAATTGGATTCTTGAGTGTCTACACTACCATGTCTACCCCATTCCAGTACCAACCCATCGATCAGCAGAGCACGTCTCTCAGACTCATACGGCTACGAAAAGAAAAGTCGCCGGACGGCCACATTCAATGCAACATTCGACACGCGTCTACAGAAGCTTCATATGTCTGTCTCTCATACGTATGGGGCGACGACGATGAATGCTATACGATCCTCATAAACGGGAGGTCCTTTGAAGTTCGTCACAATCTATATCGGTTTCTTATACAAGCGAAACGAAGCAAATATCTATCGCGCATGTGGATCTGGATCGACGCTCTCTGCATCAATCAGAGCGACTCATCGGAACGGAATCACCAGGTGCAACAAATGGGCTTGATCTTTAGCCGAGCGAAGAATGTTATGTCATGGTTGGGAGATGAACGTCATATCGCTAGGTTCTTGCTACACGTCCGGCGGCGCGCTATTCACGAAGATCATGCGCAAGATTCCAGAAAAGCTGATCTCGAACGGCCAGGACAGCCACCAGGCTTCCACTATTTCTGTGTCGCCGAATACTGGAATCGAGCATGGATAACACAGGAAGTTGCACTGGCACGCCGCGTTACGCTCATGGCAGCCAACATCGAGTTGGACGGTTCGCTTTATCCAGTGCTTTCAGAATGGGGCGAAGGTTATCTTGCGCGACTCGAACATCTCCGTCCCAAAAACACCGCCAAATGGAAGGGTAGAAGTCTTGTCTACTTGATGGACAAATTCAAGCTCAAAGAATCTCGCATTCGGCGAGATCGCGTCTATTCGCTTCTCGCACTCTGTGGTGATGGAAAAGATCTACAGGTTGACTACGACGCTACAGATCAGACCGTGGCAAAAGACATCCTGCGATGTTGCAAGCATTCATTCTGTTTGTGCACCGTCAACACTGTTGCATTCATCTTGCAGCTGCATCCTCGAGATCGGGACGATATCGCTTGGAACTCTGGGTTACAACCTTTTGCAGTAATGACACTGCCCGTCCTCTCAAAAGCGACCTCTGAGATAACATGCTCGTCCTCCCGACCTTGCCCGTACCGTAGCTGCGATGGTAGAGAGCAGTCCCATCTACCAGGTTTCGTAGTTTCATCGCCCTCGTGTACGTTCTTATCCATACATCTTTACTTAGGAAGGATATGTAGTGCTTATGGCACTTCTTTCGTGAAGATTGATGGTATGGCAGCCGCTCCAGGATTCATCTGTCAATGGAGCTTGCACGGTTCGGGCGAAGGAGGACTTTCGCAATTCATTGTACCACATTACGACTGCTCCTGGCTATTGACCGACAACGGAAAGAGCTGCACAGTCATGTTATCCTTGGGGCTCCTCGTGGAGATCGCTCAAATTGGTCGTACATCTTCTAGCGGACTATGTGCTCGGGTAGCTGATGTGGGGACGCAATCGTCGCCGTTTTACGACGACCCCGTCATGCGGATGCACTTTTGGGACCCTTCCCGGCTGGTAGCGTAGGCATGACGTCAACCTAGATACTTTCGGGGAAACGTGCATCGATGGTGATCTACACGCTGCTCCAACCATTCCGTTGCCTGGAAATCCTATTGTATCATGATTCTTACTCGAGTCTTGTCTCTTTTGCGAGGAGAATGAGCGTCGAACGCACAGGCCTGCCAAAGAACGCCGCACTATTGAAAGTTGGGCCGTGGTACGCGGGCGCGCCGCAAGCCTATATTCTTGCGCCTTCAAGCACTTACTTCGCGAGTACGCCGTCTGACTACCCACGTACTTATCTAACTTATCATCTTGTGCTCTTGATCGTGTATAAACACGATAGCGAACAGTTAGGTGCCGCACAGACTCATTGATACACCCCTACTTCCGGCTGTCAACCCAGCCAGAGCACGCATGTACATATTAATGTACGCGACGCTTTGTCGTGTGCTACTTATGTCACGAGCAAGTGCTGAGCTATAGCCATGGAGGCTCCTACTATCGCAGCAGATGTCTAAACCATTGAGCGTGAGGTCCCTACACGCGACGAGTCAGCCTTGCACTGCCCCACCAAGAGCATAAGCGTCATTTGTAGACGGGCTCTCATCCCCCACGATTATTTGCAACTCACACTCCATAAGTTTCCATCATATTTCCGCTAATGTCATCTCTCCATCTGTGCGACGGAGCATCCGACCATGGTAAACCATAGCCAACCTGGCTTTGTTGCCTTACCGCCACCGACACACGAACTAAAACCATTTACATACGCTCCCCTCGACTACCTGCAAGCTTCGCTTCGATTAGTTCGCATCCTTGAAGCGAAGTCACCCGAAGGCTACATTCAGTGTGAGGTTCGCCACGCAACGATCGAGGCGTCCTACATCTGTCTCTCATATGTATGGGGTGAGGAGGGACCAGGACATACTATTATCCTTGACAAACAACCCTTCCGCATTCGGAACAACCTCTATGGCTTTCTAGTAACGGCGAGGCGGAAACGAAGACTATTAGAAAATTGGTTATGGATCGACGCGTTGTCAATTGATCAGACCAATGTTGAGGAGCGTAATCATCAGGTACAACAAATGGGACAGATTTTTTCTCGAGCGAAGGAGGTGCTGTCGTGGCTTGGAAATAATCCAGAGATTGCTGCATATCTAGACAGGGTTGAGCAAGCGTACATCCAAGGGAAAGACGTCCATCTAAATCAGTTATCACTTCCTTACCGCGGAACCATGGAATATTATCAACAACTCGAGTTCCACCAATCTGAATACTGGAAACGAGCTTGGATTACACAGGAAGTGGCGCTTGCATGTCAGGTCACATTATGTGCAGGGCTTGCGGAGATGACTTTTGAGTTGTTCCCGTTTACGTATCTCGACGGCATGCCACCAACTGACGACCTGGGGACTGGAAAAAGAACCGGACTCAAGGGTCGAAGTCTAATCTATTTGATCTATTTCTTCAAGGCTAAGGAATCACACTAACGTCGAGATTGCGTTTATTCCCTGCTCGCTCTATGTGGTGAGGGCTCCGACCTCCAGGTCGATTACAGCAGTTCAGAGACGATGCTCATGAGAGAAATAATAGAGTGCTGCAAACAATCATTTTGCTTATGTGCTGTTGAAGTTGTTGCGTCGACACTACACATCAAAGCACACGACTTCTGGACTCTCGACGGTCAAATTCTGAGTCTCTCCTTCGAACCTTTCGCCTCCATGACCCTACCTGTTATCCGAGGCGCTGCTCCTTTGTGGGCACACCGTTCTGAGCCCGATCAGCCTCCTCAGTATCTGCCTTATCAATGCGACCAGCACGCCAGCCTCTCTTGCATCCAACTATCACGAGAAGAAAAGATGGCAGTTTATATAGGCTCCGAAGGTGATATTCTAATCATCGTTTTGCCCATACAGATCTGCCCGTCTTCACCCGCAGCATTCTTCGAGATTAGGATGAAGGCGGGCTCTCCGTATTCTACGCTGGTCGCTTGCATGCATGGACAGAAGGTGATGAAAAGTCTATTGAATGGCATCGGTCTGAGACTTGATTGGAGACCTCCGGAAGAAGTCTGTCAGGTATTCCTTTCATTTGACCTTGTTCTCACTTTCATAGACGGATTGTCTTTCCGTAGGCCATGCGATCGTGTCAATTTCCAAGGGACCGCAGCTGAAACGCTTCTAAGAGAGCCCTTGCTACGGCTCTGCTCATAGCTTCTCATATGGAGCTGTCATCTACCTTTGGAATCTTTAGTAACTATGAGGCTATATCGTAGGATATTCGTACTGAAACGTATTCATATAGTATCAAGACGTCTTTCACTTAGCAATTCTTATGGGATCTGCTTCATCATCCTTCGATTTCTGTTTTGACTATCTTGCAATACGGATATCTCATTTTGAGGTAGTAAATATCTTCTACTTTCAGTGTTTACCATGGTAGAGTGGTTCCATCCCAGTTCTGGAAAGTCCCAGAAAGGTTTCTATCCGCCTTATCCAGCGTGCTCAAAACACCATTTACACTCTGCTCAACTGTGATAGCGCCCGCAGCCTTAAGCGCTTCGGGATCGGCCATAGCGCTACCCATATCCGTCATGACCAAGCCAGGGTGGGTGACATACGATGTCAACCAAGATTCTTCGAAATGGATCCTAGCGAAAGCCCAGTTCAACGCCGCCTTACTAGCACCGTATGGGCTGAAAACCTGCGGGAATCCAGCGAGCATTGCTTGAGCGCCCATGCTGCTAATTACAGTGGAAATTCCGAGGTAGATGGGGTTGCCGGACTTGCTGGCTTGTAGCAGGGGCTTGACGGCCTGGAAGAGAAGAATGGGGCCGATGGTGTTGACGGCAAAGTGATCGCGGAGCGCGTCAGGTGAGGTGTTGACGATGGTAGTACCTGAGTGTGCAATTCCGGCATTGGCGATCACAACATCGAGCGAGGTGATACCATGCTTGGATTGAAGTTCGGCGACAGCATTCTTGGGGTCCGCTTCGTCGGAGGAGTCAATCTTGACAATGATGAGCTTCGATCCTGAAGCCTTAGGAAGGGATTCGAGTGCGGAAGTCGACTTGGCGACGTCTCGGACTCCAGCAATGACGGTGGTGTTGGGACGTTGGAGGAGAGTTGAGGTGAAGCCTTTGCCGATGCCACGGTTAGCACCGGTGATGAGATATGTGAGGGACGAAGACATGGTTGCTTTGAGAATGAGTTGGTAGATGTAGGGTTTTGAGGCTGGTGTTGATATTGGAGGTTTGGATAGTTGGCTTCTGGCTCTAATCGCACACAGTTCTTTCCCTTTATATATCAAGTAGCGAGCTCGCGCAGAAGATGCGAACACCGAGGCCGAGCATGATTTCTCATCTAGATACTATAGCTGGAACTCATCAGAAAGTGACTAATGTTCGTGGTTGCATCCCGGTGGGCAAAGAGACTGCCCGTCCGCTTGTAAGGTGCTCAGTCATTGTTTGGTAAGATACGTATGCCCCTTGCCTAGATTAGGCATGCGGCGTGAGTGATTAGTGAACCTAGAGATACCACCCTCTGCGCAGTCTTTTAGATTATTTCTTAACTTTTTGAGCGTCTTGTTACATATACAGATGACAAGAGAAATATCTCTACGAAACGTGTCGACTTTACGCTCGATCATGACCTCTTTGTGGTTGTTGGTGCTCGTAATAAACGAGCTAGCGAAGCTTTTACGGCCGAAGGTTGATGTTTAGTGAACACCATACTAGTCGCGCTAGCTTACAGCCTTCACCCAATGACAAATATAGGCCATGACTGGGCTTCCTCGTCGTTGGAACTGACGCTATGCTCTCTTCATCGTCGTGCTGGCATGCTCGTCCTAGTCCACTCTCTTGTTCAACGTGTCTTTAACAGGAAACATTCCTTTCTCCTCTAAGACTGGCGAGACAAAGAACCCTAGCATAACGTCCGGATCATTCCTGTCGCTCTTGACTAAATTTCACCACGCCCAAGTTTGCTCCCGTACACTCTGGAGCTACACATACGTCTCATTCGTCATCCATCCATCACGGTCGCAAAACTGTCACTCGTTCTCTCTATGCATGATTTCTGGTTTTGTCGAGTTGTTTATGATGACTGAGAAGTCACAACATGATCCTGTGTCCGTATGCCACAAGCTGAGGATTTTGTGCTTGTAGAATCAGTCGGCCAGGTCACGCGTTCCGCGAATCGATCGCATTGGTGATTCAGATATTATCGACGAAAGTGTTGGTCTATCATGGATTCAATTGCAAGAGTACTGGTGTGCTTGCTTCGCCTTTGGAAAGTACATGATCAATAAAATTAAGAAACTTCTCGTGAATAACGAGGTGCAGTGATGGAGTTCCTTGAGCTTTCGAATCTTCGGGGGAATCACGAAGACAATCATCCGGTGGCTTGGGTGTAGCGTGGTATGTCTACGAGGCATTTACCCGTTGGGCCGTAGCTCGGAGGTAATCTGAAGGTCGTTGCCCTGATACTGATTAGTAGACATCATTGAACGTGTCCTTGTAACGTGTGGTTTGTAAGGTCCACGATCTTGAGCTTGCAAGAAAGTTCGAGTCCATTTTAGCTCTCACCAACTCGCTCCTCCTTAACTCCTTTCGTCAGAAAGTACTCTATTTCCATATCGTCGCTCTCATTGCTGCTTCAGACTAGGATTCAAGATGCAGATATAGCGAGGATACTTCGAGCCTGCTATACAGATTGTGTCAGTCCATAATGCTGTCTTCGGCAGAATGATACAAGCGTGTAGACTCTTCACCCGCAATCTCTACTGCAGTCGGTAGGGATCCAGATCCAGCAACCGGATATGGTATGCAGGCGATGACAACCGTGTCGTTGTTCATATCGAGTCGAAAGACCGGATTGGATCCACCTTCGGCGAATTTGATCATCGACGAGAAATGTCACGCGCCATCGTTTCTGGCATTGACTTTCTGTAGATTAAACACATTGAACTTCGTTTTTCGTTTGAAGTAAAAGTCTCCCTTCGTCCTTAGGCCAGTAACCGCCTATGTGTTTGTAAAAGTCGGTGTCACTGTCACTATGGGAAGTGGTGATACTTGAGTCAGTCGTAGCGGCGAAGCGACTGATGATTCTCGCGACTGCGCTTATAAAGCGACGTCTCGAACATGTGCAAGACATGGTAATGTAATACTCCGCCATTGATGGTGGTTGCTGATGGAGGCGACGCAACAAGCTTAGCGAGAGACGTGAGCCCTCAGGTCCTTGTTGGCTTACCTCATGAGTATATGATTCACCTTCCGACTATGTCTTGTGTGACGTGTTTCCATGATGACAGTCGCGAGGCTGCCAATAACAATAAAATCGAATTATCAAAGTCTATAAAATTCCACGTAGATTGACAACTCGTTGCTGTCATGAACTCCGTGAACACCATGCTTGCCCAGATTGTATATAGCTCATATCGACATAAACCTCAAGATCCTCGTATCATTCTATTCGTCGTCGAGTATAGAGCTCGCCAGTGGGCCAAAGAAAGGAACCTCGTATCGGTCAAGTGTCGCAGCTGTTCAACCGTTAGCAAGTAGATCTGTCTGTGAATTATGATATGAACTCACCATCTAGATACGCCCTCCAAGTCAACCACCCTATGCCTGCCAAATCTCCGATGAACAGGACCCAGGATATGAAACTCGACCAGCTGAATATGATGTGCACCACAAAGATGAAGGCGAATAGGAGACTGCTCTGCCATGCGTGGAACCGCACATAGTCACTTTGGTGCTCCAAGACTAGTAGCAACACCCCACCCGCTGGTGGAAGCAGAAGGTATGCCAGGCAAGCCTCATAGTCCAATCTCCAGCCCAGAGATGTGGTGAACATATCCACATCCTCGCGTGAGCGACCGAAGCCTGTGCTGCGAGACGGCTGGTCCCACGCTATGCGCTCGGTATCTGGTTCTGCGGGTGGGGAGACAGGTGACTGGCCCTGGAAGTAGTCATGTTGCTCGTATGCGCGTGTGGGAGGCGATATGATGTTGCGTGTGCGGTCAATGGATGTCCTCGGCGAATGGACTGGCGGTGGGGAGAGCGCGCGTGACGATTCCGGTATGTCTTGATACGGGGCGAAATTGGCTGCCATTATGGTTTCGGTCGTTGATAGGTGCCGTATACAATACACCGGGAGCTTGCCGGTCTGTTTCCTGGGGTATTGAAGGTTTGGTGGAGGAAATAGGGCTGACACAGAGGAAGGTACAACCGGGGCTGTGACGTTGGGCAGGGATCCTAGCTCGACGTCGGGGCCGGGGTCCCGTTAGCACGTGAGACATCGTTTTCGGACACCTCCGCCATGTTACTCCGCTGCAGGAACAGTCATGTCGTGCGACGTGTCTAGAGAATGAGGGCTCACACAGCTCTCTGGCACGTTGCAATCTAGAGATTGCGCAGTGTATGCGCGTCGAAATAGTGATGCATAAAGTAGACACTGCCTTCCCCGTTGTTGACCCGAGGTCGCAACTTCCTACATCACAGGGACATCAGAACGCCTCGGTCGCAACCTTCGTCTCGCCATGTGTCGTTCCACCTCACTCCACGTCCTGTACGGTTGGAACCACGTATATGACTGAGCATTGAAGCACCTGTTGGCACTCATTCACACCGCTCATACTGCACTTCGGTAAATAATCTGCTTGGTCCGTCATTTTCCGAGTTATTGAACGCCACAAAACAGTACTTCGCAGTATCTTCTTTCCCTCACATAGCCTCATCTACGACATAGCGGTAACAACATCAAAATGTGTATCGCTATTCTCACAACAGCCCATCCAGACTATCCATTCATATTGCTCAACAATCGAGACGTACGTATGGTTGTCTACAACCATCACATCCTACGACTAACGCATACCAGGAGTATTTACATCGTCCAACAGCAGAGGCAACATGGTGGCCATCTCCAGACACCCAAGTCTTGGGCGGCTACGACCTTCACCGTCCCGTTCATGGCACCTGGCTGGGTGTGACCCGTCAAGGTCGAATTGCAGTGTTGACCAACTACCGTGAAGAGGATGAAACGATCGTGGAAGGCGCGCGAAGTAGAGGGCTCATTCCAAACGCTTGGTTAAAGTCCGACCCGGCGAAGGGGGAGAGTACAGAACAGTTCGCAAAACGAATGATAGAAGAAGATGGTGTCGAGGGCGTTGGCGGGTTCTCTCTGTGCTACGGATTCATTCAAGATGTTGTCAAAGAGGGAGAAAAGGGTCTTGCAATCGTGAGCAACCGAACTCCAGACGTTCATGGCGTGATTCATCTCCTGCAAAAGCCAGATGAAACCCGGGCTCTCAGCAATGCCGCTTACAACGACCGCACCTGGCCCAAAGTAATCAATGGAGAAGACTGGACGCGCGCTGCTATCGCCAAGTCTGTCGCTGCCAACGAGTCCCAAGACCAGCTCATCAACCGTCTTCTCGATATTCTGACCACGGACACCATGCCCCGACAGAAAGAGAATGAGGAGTGGGACATGTACCTCAACCAACTGCGTTATAGCATATTTGTTCCAGCAATTGGAAGAGACCATCTTGAAGAGCACAAGATGCCTGCGCATGAGGTGGGCGATGTGGTCAAAGCGAAAGCGCTGGATGCTACAAGTGGGTGCTACGGTACCCAGAAAAATATCATAGTGTTGTGTGATCGAGAAGGGAAGGTGACTTATTTTGAGAGGACGTTGTATGATGGTGATGCGAAACCGATTGAAAAAGGAAAAGGAGACAGGAAATTTGATTTCAAGATCGAAGGGTGGTAAGACGATGAGGGTATGCATACTGCCTACTGATGAGAAGGAGCCATCTCATGTGTTGTTATTGGTACCTGCCATACCCCTTAGGGCACTGCCTATATAATCAAATAGTCTGTAGGATCAATGCATCACTTCAATACTCCAACACCTTCTACAAAGTCTTTCACACGATTCTTTTCATCCCATCTTCATGCTTTTATGTTTCGTCGGTATCAATCATATCGTATGCTTTCCACCAGAATTCCGACTTCACCAATTGTGTCAGGTCCTCAGGATTTGGTCATCTGACCATAGAGAGAACAACAACTCACGGTCACTTCCATCTCTCCGTTTGCTATAAGCAGGATTACGCCGCGCGGCGGGTCTGTGCAACTTTTATTCTCGTTGCCACGGTCACTTACCTTTCCAATTCTGATTTCGAATTATTCCCCTCGTTGATATTCGAGTGCGTTTATCTCGCAACCACCATTGGCCGCATACAATTTATCTTGGTGGTTTCCCATTACACTCGCTTGTTCACTGTCCATCGCCAAACGCCACCATGTGTATCATGTTCTTCATATCCCACTACGACGGCCCACGGGAGCACTTCCTTTTCCAGTACCACTGCGCACATACCGACTGTCCCGGAACCTTTGAGGCACATCAAAAGTATCTACTTGAAGAGAGCCGCTTGGACTGCTCAGAGTGTTTGACCAAAGATGGCGATCAGGTGGATCTAGATATAGTTCCGGTACAGTACTATCCTGCCACTCCCCACTTTGAGATTGAGTACGTGGAGGGGAAGGGTTGGGTCAAAGTCTGTGAGCAAGATGGCGCGAAGGGTGCAGGGAGGAATAAAGTGCAGGAGGATGAGGACGACGATCAAGGTGACGGCCGCTACGCCCATAGCTTCGCAAGTCTCTCGGACTGCAACAGCGTCACTTCACACTGGCGTCTGGACCCAACCTTCGCACCGCCTATCCGCCCATTCGCTGCAACCACCAAGGGCAAGTCGCCCGCTCCACCCTACCAGGGGCTATCAACAATGGAAGAGGCGTATGAGACGCGCTCTCCACATGAGCCGCCACACGAGATGACCAAGGTACGTAAGTAAATTTCTTTCTTTTTGACTTGCAATTCTTCTCGTCTCAGTGGATCTTTTGTTGAGATCGTTGAAAAGGTATGTGAGGTTTCTCATGAGAGCGTATCCCCTGGACCAGAACCAAGCCAGACGATCCTCCAAGAATCGCCATTTGGCGACTCTCCCAACACTATCGAGCACCGAAATCTTGTCAATCGACAGCTCGCGACACTCGAACACCGGATGACCCACCGTCAGCCTCAGCGCGATCTCAGTCAGCACACGTTCAACGTCCCGCGCCCACAGTACCCGGATCACTTTCGTCAAGCTTTCAGGCATGAACTTGTTGTGAGCAACCCGCCGGATCATGCTGCTCCGCCTCCCGTTACTCCACGACCACCTCCAGGAGTACTACCAGGAGGACCAGATTACGAGAATGGATTACATTACATGGTTTCCACATCAACCACGAACGGGGTATCGGATTCTCGATGGGACCCATTTCCAGGACCTGGTGAGAGGATGGATTTTTCTCTTGTAAGTTGTGCTGGTGTTTCGATTGATGACATTTTGTTGACGACTAACAGTTCTAGGGAAAGCCTGCTCAGGCTGTTCGTAGGCGTCACAAACCACGTGATAAAGAGGAACGAATGAGACGAAGAAACGAGAAGGCGGGTCACTTTGAATGTCTTTCGAGATCGAATGAGTAGTGGGATGCTTGGACGTTGAATGAGATCAAGAAGCCTTTGGGCATTATGGATTGGTGGATGTTTGGTTTGTGCTTTTGGTTCAGTACAGCATAGTTCTTTGGAAGTTAGCGACTACTCAGGATGTCCATGAGATATGGACGAAGTAATAGGGACCTTACGTCCTGTACATGCAGTGAGTAGAGTGGACTTACCTGAATCAGATGAAGTTCATGCGCACGTGCACGGTCTTGGCGCGCTACAGGTGTCAGGGTGTTGGTGACGTCTTGTAGATCTTCGGCAACTCTAATCAACAAACACCGAGCCGCCGTCCGACGTTGAAACATCTGTACACTTTTTTGCGACAACTCTAGCAGCACCTGCTGTCCTAGGCTAGATGTCTAGGCTGTCGAACTAGTCCCTTTTCGTTCAGCCATACCACCACCCACCCAATTCCCCACCTCCATTAATAGACAATCAGCCGTCATGGCGTCTCTCCCGTCTCAGCGCCCCGCGTCGCGACATAGACCCGCACCACCTGCCGAATCATCGTCCTCGCAGCAAGAGCAAACGGAGCGATCGAGCAGCTTCTCTGGTCAGTCGGTAGACTCGCAAACGCTACTACTCAACACGCCATCTACACAGTCAACCACTTCCGCGCCTCAAGAGCAGGAAGAGACACCCGCGCAGACCACCGCGCCACAACAAGAAGAAGATGACGAACCACGGAGATGCTGGATCTGCTTCAATGATGAGACGGAAGATGATGAAACAACATCGGAGTGGCGGTCACCTTGCGCGTGCTCACTGGTGGCGCACGAGAAGTGCCTGTTAGACTGGATAGCCGACATGGAAGCGCCGAGCTCTCGACGGCAAGCTGGTAAATCGGCGGGCAAGATATTGTGTCCCCAATGCAAAAGCGAGATCAGGGTACAACGGCCGAGAAGCTACGTGGTGGACGTTGTTCGGAGTGTCGAGCGCCTCACTGGTAGCCTGCTGCTTCCTGGCTTCGCACTCGTCACAGGCACTGCGCTCTATTCGACTTTGACGCTTTCTGGGACTGCGACAATATACCAGATATTTGGCACACAGGACGCGCTGCAGATCCTCGGACCACTCTACGAGACGCCAAACCGCGCGGTGAACTCGGTCACAATGCAGTGGCTCGAACATCTAAGGCATCACTGGAGGCTGGATCTTGGGCTGCCCCTGATACCGACGGTTCTGGTCGCAAGCCGAACAACCTTCGCCGACTCATTCCTACCCTTCCTTCCTCTCATCTTCTTCGTCAGCTCTGGACAGCCAGGCGATGATATGCTACAGCTGCAGTGGCCACCGAGCGCCGCTTTCACCTTCGCCGCGCTGCCATACCTCCGAGGTTTCTACAACGCATACTACGAACGAGTCTGGTTACCGCGAGAGCAGCAGTGGTTAAAGGAGATCCAGCCACGAGCTGGCGAAGACACAACCGCAGATGTACAAGCACAAGCCCAACACGATCACGACCACGACCATTTAGGCGATGAGGACGTGGTAGAAGAGGTGGAGATTGAACTCGACTTGGACATCTTCGCAGATTGGAACAACGATGGCGAAGCCGATCACGACGATGCGCCTGAGGATCCGCCTGTACGAGCTGCACGAGGCCCAGCAGGGCCGATGGACGCGCCTCCACAAGACGACCAAGATGATGCCAATATGCCGGCTGTTCAGCTTATCGACGATGCTCAACTAGACGTAGCACCTGCGCCCAACATCCCCATGCAGCCCGCTGCCCCACGACCTCGACGTGTCCGACGCGAACGCGGTGTCACTTTCTCCACCACATCGCTCGCTGACACCATCCTCGGTGCCCTTATCTTCCCCACCATAGCCGCTGCAATGGGTGAATTGCTCAGGCATACTCTGCCTAGCTCATGGGTCACACCTCCGACTGGCGCGCCAGCAATGTCCTGGCTCGGCGGCTGGATCAACACCGGTGGCAGAGTAGGCGGAGTGGGCAAGCCCACAGGCTTCCTCCAGACGCGTTGGGGTAGGAGTGTGGTTGGTGGATGTATGTTTGTGGGATTGAAGGACATGATCATGTTGTATGTTAGGTGGAAGACGGCGCAAAATCACCGGAAGAGAGGCATTGTGAATCATGACAGGAAGAAGGGCAGGGGTGGTGCTGCGGCGGCATCGTGAGGTGCATGAATTTTGGAGCATAAGAACGGAATCTAGGAGTATATGGATTGGATATGATGATGGCACGAAGGCTACTAGCGTCTCGCAAGCACAAACTCATTTGGAGGTTCTGATATCTGTACATTACACTCAATCACGCAGGACTGGCATCGGTCAGTCAGGTCAACTATGAACCTATACGCTGCATCCAAGAAGTGTTCACTGCCTACTCAATCGTGACAGCGCTATCCTACCCAGTATCACGACCAATCCTTCCGCCTACCCAAATCTCTCCGCAGCAATCTGTCTCAAAAAGTCCATGGTCTTGCTCTCCTTCTCCCTTCTTTCCGCCAATCTCTCATTCCTCTCCGCCTCCCTCGCCCTAGCAATCTCCTCCCTCCGTATCTCCCTCTCATTCTTCTGCCTCTCCTGCTCCTTCTTTTTCTTCTTGTACATGTCTATGCCGTCATCGCCCATAAGATCTGATTCTGGTACTTCTAGCTCTCCAGCTTCTTTGGCTTCTCGGAAGGAGTTCAGCGTGGAGGTTGTTTCGCGCTTCTTTTCTAGCTGGCGCTCGCGGGAGCCTGGGTCGGCGCGCGGGACGAGGTCTTCTAGGGCTTCTTTTTGGGATTTGCGGTCGTTTTTACGCGCATGACGGATATCGTCTACGTAATCCATCTGGCCTTTCTCGCGGTCCTCGGCGCGGAGCTCGTTACGGTAGGTCAGGTCGTCTAGCTTGGGGATTGTTGGGCCGTGGCCTTGGTGCCGTTGGAGGGTTGTGGGTGGTGCTGGGCCAAAGTCATCGTCGCTCTGGTCTGACGTCGCTTCTTCTCTTGGAGTGTAGCTTGGTGAGGCTCGTTTCGTGGGGGCGCGAGGAGAGGATGCGCGGTATGATTGTACGGTTTCTTGAGCTGTTTTCAGCATGGATGGGTCATACCAGCTTCGTGCCAGGTCTCCACGGTTCCTGAAATGTTAGTATTGGCCGATCCTTTCGATCGAAGCGTAGGAGAATGTGGGCGCATACCAGCGACTGACGAAACTCTTCCATCGTCCCTTGATCTCCCGCTCATCCAGATCATCGAGTTGTATCTGCTTTTGTATGTCTAGATAGGATTGGAACAGCGGTCTGTACTCGTCATACTGTCGCTTCGATAGCGGCTTCGCTTTATAGGGTAAGGCTACGGGTTTCGGCGCAGGTGGTGAGCGCGAACGGTGTCGCTTGTGTCGGTGGCCGTCATCGTCGCGACGGGGAGAGCGCGAGCGATGCGAACGGTGGTGTTTCTTATGAGTGCGCGCTTCGTGGGGTCGCGAGCTGCCATGTGACGGCAATTGCGCTTTGGATTCTTCGGGTGTCCAGCTGCGTCGCGGCATAGTTGAGGTTTGGATGTTGCAAGCCAATGTGGAGACGACGTGGGAGAAGTTCACATGTCATAGCGGGCCGTTTCCGCGCGCTCGAACAGACTAGCACGATATTGGCTCGCTCTGTGTTCGAGCTAGTTCTTAACATCATTACTGGCTTGCTGGGAGTAGTATGGATATAATGGATGTGCTATCGACCGTAGAAAGAACCAGGATAGCGTTACAGTGCAGGAGCTGTGACGACTCGAGACAAGAAAGCACGTAGGTCACTCAGTAGGTGCAAGAAAGTATCACATTGTTTTGGCTTGGGACCTGGAATCATTGTCTTTTGGCTACGGTGTACCAACCCATAACAGTCAAAAGGACCTGGGAATGGCTTTCACCAAGACACAAAAAGAGCAGGAAAGGTACTAGCCACATTTCGCGTTATCTAAACCAGTCTAGTGTACCAGCAGCATCCCGAACAGTTGAGTCGGTGTAGGAGTATAAACTCGTGCGATCTTATTTGCCAGCGAACTTTCATGCACTCAGGCAAGAGTGAGTGAAGATTTGACAGCTGCACTTGATACCGCCGACCTTCTGTTGGATCGGAGCTCGGATGATGTCGCGTACCTGAAGTGGTTCGCAAAGATCCAAAGCAGGCAACTAGGCATCAGTTACTCGGAGAAAGTGGGCCACGGATGCGGCCACACACCCCTAGCTAGCGCTTGCGAATGATCTGTGCATTGCAAGAGCCAAAACGCCTTCAGGCTCTGTGGTCTTTCGCGCGGTGCATAAGAAGGCACATCTTCGCTGCTCTCATGGCTTTATAATGACAGTGGACAATTCTAACGTACATACTTACACACCTGTCCTATACATAGTTGACTTCCTTAGTATACTACGAGCAGGCATCGCCTTCGGTTACTAGCTGCATCGAGCACAAGCGATGACATCCCTGTCCAATGAATCTGTAATCGCCATCGTCACTCTTGTAACAACTTGTCCCCCTTCGTTCGCTCTCATCTGGCACCTCCTAAGACACAAACGTCGCGATGTCATACGCGAAGAACAAGGTATGTGAAGGTCATGTCTATCTGTAGTCGACGTCCGCTACTTACGATGCCGAAGACGTGGAACTCAGCTCTCGTTCCACTTTGAACCACAAGATTGCCCAGCATATCACAGATGTCTTACTCCGACCTGTCATCGCCCATCGTTATACACGAAGATGAAATGCCACATCTAACAAGTGAGCACGAATGTGAGTAGACCTTCCAGTTTTGCGGCAATAGTCTGACATGATCCGCAGAATGTATTGCGAGTTTACAATGATACCCAACATCGATCTACTCATCCCAACTGGAGAGCTGTGAGCTAGATGATGAAGCTCATTTGTTGGGCATGGCGTTGCTTACATAGAAGAAGAGCATAGAAGTCTTTATCGAGACTCGATCCAATACCTGAATCTTGCGAGAAGTTTTCTGAGCATTTCTCTTCGTCCAAATTTGGTTGTGCGATGCTCTCCGGATGCGCCGTCCTTTTTCTTCCCATTCTTCCCTCCAGCTTCACCATTTTTAGGATCGACGCCCAACTACCTATGTCTATGCCAAAACACCATGCTACGCTGTTTCCTCACCTCCAATTCTTCCCTAATTCCATTCTCAGACTCACAGCAGGCTGTCTACCATGATGTCACATGTGTCGGACGAAACCAGTAGAAAGCAAGAATCTGGACCGGCTCATTGCTCAGTGCGTGGTCCGTTTACAGCGTTCAGGCCAAATGCGCGTAAACTTATAAGAACGACTGCATGTAACACCCCGTGCACTCGTTTGTGGATATATGCTTCGTGAGAACCGAGTAGATATGCAACACACTGTTCTGCCTTTGATATTTTTCCAGCGTTGACGCGGTCCTGTTGGGTTTCGGGGTTAGGTCGTAAAATGAGAAGGTGAGATGATTTTGGTTCTGCGGGCCGCTAGAAGCATACCTACCTAGGTACCTACAGTGATGACGGGCCGCAAGGAACTTCTTCCGGGCCGACAGAACACACCAAACAGCAAAATGCCTCATTGATCTCGATTGCAGGGAATCTGAAGTGTCTGTCACAACTTCGAGCCATCGATCAACGACTTCCCTTTGACGCACTTAATGGACCAACATTGACACCGTCAGGTTTGCAGCCAAAGATACATTTGCACTTAGCTGCGTGTTCACAGCGCAGCGCAGTTCAGTGCAGATGATCCAAAATCCATGAAGGTTCAGGCTCTTCAGCTTGCTTTCTTACGATCATGAACGTTCGTAAGTCACCGGTTGATTATGTCGTCCCGTCGAGGCCGAGCTACGCTTTGCCATCGCATGGCTACCTAACTTGTAGAGGCATCTCGTCGTGGCTGAGTTCTGCTTCGCCAATGCATTGATATCGTACCTTCTGGTGGTTTAAAGACATTTGGACGAATTACGTTCCAGAGTTTCCATGAACAGTATGAGTACCGTTGCGCTTTGTGACCCAAGGCGGTCTGACCCTGGACCGTGACTCCCGACTTTCTAAACTCAAGATTCAGTCAGCCTTATAGCACTCGCCCGTTCGGACACCAAGATTCTCAGCCTGTCGCCATCCAGACAGGGTGCAGTTCGCTTAAGAGCGGGCCCTTCATGCAGACCTCAGGCTTTGGTCTACCGACCACTGCTCACAAAGTATAACAGCTCGTTTCCTATCGCTTTTCCAGCTGTCTTTTGGAGAGCATAATCTATAACGCTGGGTTAAGCACAGTTCAGTGTCAGTACTACAAAATATTTGTTCATTATTGAAAACGCATGGTCTTACTCGCCTACACCATCGTTACCGCTGCGCCAATCAGACGCGATGTCCTCCCTGTCCAATGAATCAATAATAGCTATAGTCACACTCGTCACAACCTGTCCACCTTCCTTTGCTTTTATGTGGCACCTACTCAAACGTCATCGCCGTAACAAACAACGTGAGGATCAAGGTACGTTTATACACTTGGGAGCTATGGTGGAACAGTCCTGTTAAATGCATGTTAGATGTCGAACTGAACTCTCGTTCCGCAATCAACCTCCGTGTAATCAAGCACGTCAGAAACACTGTGCTATCTCCTGCCCTGGCCCGCTGTCCTCCAAGATGATCGATACCATTTTCGAGAACAAAGATTACAAACATGAATGTAGGTGGACCATGTATCCTTGTAGCACTTTCTGACGCCTCTTGCAGAACGTACTACAAGATATATCGAATTTTGTAGTGTATAACAATCGTCATTGGGTGGTTAAATCAAAAAGATGATACCCTGAAGTCGAGACCTGAACGTGGATAATTACCATGTGTACTGAGGGTCGAAGGCCATTTAGAAGTGTAAGAATAGCATCCTGTCGCATTCACGCCTCGTCTAGAGACGTCACAGCTTTGGAAAGAATCCCTTCAACCTGACACTCTTGTTCCGCGGATCTGCTTGATCCGCTCCCAGCCTACCATGACTCATGCTTCTGATCGTTGGTGATGTACAAAGTCATGTAGCGACCATCACAGTCTGCCACAATGCAAGCGTCGAAGAACTTTCCCTAACGTCGCTCTCTTCGTCTTCCACATCGCCCTCTTGAGACCACCTTCTGTCTCGCCATCTATCTTCTCCCCCTCACCATCCTCAATGGCGGCGTGCCTTTCTATCCTCCCATATCTATGCCAAAACCTTATGTCATGCTCTTCCCTCGCGTTTTGTTCTTCTCTACCCCCATCTTCAGCCTCGTAACAGGCTGTAGGAAACTCAACACCAAGTGCCATCGCCGCCCTCCGCGTACCCTCGTCCTTGAATCCCCACCACTCCCTTCCTTCTTCAACAATGGTGATAGCTGATGGTCTCCGTGTCGTAATTGCTCTTTCTCCTTCCTCGATAGCCCTAGGTAGGAAAGGTGTACTCAACACGTCGACTTCAGTAGAATCGAATGAAAAACGGGGTTCATCAAGTAATGTCTCCGATGAAGAGAAGGACACCGGCAATGACTCTCCTGGATAGTAGATGTCAGATTCAGATGAGGAGGGCTGGTTAATATCGCGGCTGAAGGAGGTGCAGGTTTCTTGGTCCTGATGGCATTGGAATGGAAGCGTTGTATTCGTAAAGGGGTCTACAACGTTCGTGGTAGGACGTAATGGTGGTGATCGTCTAGGTGAAACTCTCAGTGACCTTCGAAGAGGTGATGCGCATACGGTGGGATCGACTGCACAACTGTGGTCCTGATTTATGATGTCGCTGTCGGATGAGGAGCATAGGGGAGGATTGTTACGACGGCGGCCGAAGTGGGACCTGGTTGTTGACTCTATACCAGGATTCATAAGGTATGTCGTGCCTGATGGTCTAGCTGACGACGATAAAGATGGCGTCGAAAAGGACGTTAACGGTGACAGCATAGGCGTACCGGAAGTGGAGATATTTCTCCTGCTGATGTCTCTACCTATAGTCGTAGGAGAAGAAAAGAGTGAGGTATTTCGTCCCTTCCAGCATTTCGACGTAGCTGAAGAGTTCATCGTGAGAAGATAATCATACGTGTAGGGGATGATATGGTTTAGCAAACCAAAAGGTATGAAGCTGTGAGCCTTCTATGGGTGATTCGGTGTAGGCTTGCCAGATACCGAATTCCGATCAGCCGACGTAGAATTAGTTCGCCTGGTTTGTAGCTGAGATTAGAGTGAAGTGCAAAAGGAGCTTGGAATATTCCTCTTAATCACGTTAAATCGTGATTCTTCCATCGTTGCCGCACAGTGTGGTTCCGCGATAGTCCATATCCATGGAAAGCGAGTGCAAGTCAATGTACATAGAAACGACGACCGTGAATCAGAGAACATAAAATTGCAATCATTGAGAACATTCGGGTAGCGAGAGTGACCAACCACAGGAGATCATGTTGCAAATCCACCAAATCAACGTTCTTCTCAAATTCATACGTACCGCGGTCAATGATGCCCGCTCCCCACTCCACGTACCTGATTTCGAACTGCGATAGGTGATAGCTCTTC